CATTGAAATCCTTGCGGTCAGACGTGTTTTGGAATTCAGAAGTTTTCAAACCCGAGAAAGGTGACATAGAGCACATGCCAGCTGTGACGTGACGTCGGTAGAATCTGGGACAACACCTCACAATCAAACACATCGCTATTGCTGCAGCAAAACGCAAGACTGTTCACCCCAAGCGGAGTGAATAAGCTATTAATAGCTTCATGTCAGTTCAGGTCAGGGCTTGGTAGCTAATGAGCTTGTTATAAACTTATTTAAAAACACACACGCTCTTGGTTTTCAGAGCAAGGGCCTTGGATTTCTCCTATTGCACTCCCATCGGCTGCTGCGATGGAAAAAGCCCTCCAGGGAGTCTGACCATGTTTTGTTTTTCCTTATTGTTATTCTTTATTATATGACTATCTAAAGAATGCTTAGATAATATAATTTATACTAAAGGTACATAGGTCAAAGAAGAAACACAGCCCTGCCCAGTTTGCCTCAGTGGTTAGAGCGTTGGCCTGCGGACTGAAGGGTCCCGGGTTCGATTCCAGTTGGGGCACGTGCCCGGGTTGCAGGCTTGGTCCCCAGTGTGGGGTGTGCAGAAGGCAGCCAGCCAATGATTTCCTCTCCTTGATGTTTCTGTCTCTCTCTCTTCCTCTCCCTTCCTCTCTGAAATAAAAACAAAAAGAAACACATTTTTACACAATATAGTTTTCTGAGAACAAGTTTGTGATAACATTTTCTTATAGCCATCCAAAAGGAACAGACATAAAAGGTTACGGAGATTTTTCAACCATTTCTTATTTTCCAACTGCAAATGGGAGAATGTATGGATCTGACCGTTCTTATTGTCATCTCTTCACTGTGCGCCATCTTCCTACAGCTCTGATCTTAGCAGTTCCGGAAATTCTTACCTACACACATATCCTTCGCAGGGCCCTCAGTCCTCATAAACTTTTAAAATCTATTTCTTATATCTGGATCTATTCCTCTCCTTGAACCTCATACCTTCTCTAACATTTGTACTCTTCTCTAACGGCCTGACCTTCATCTCCCTGCTCTCCCAGCCACCCCTGCCTCCCTCTGTATCCTTAGGCCGGAAGAGGGCCCAGCCTCTGTCCCTTGCCCCCAAAAGCCTCTGTAGAACTTGGACCTGGAGGTCTATGTGCACCCACATCCTCGCCAGGAGGCCTGGACACACCCAGCCTCAGGAGCGGGTGCTTCTCAGAGATCCCCTGTCAATCTGTTATAATTCCCACCCCCAAACCCTCCTATGCTCATTGGGAGGTGGGAGGTCACCCTACCCACACCCCCATCCTAAACAATTGTTCTCAGCACACAGAATAGTCCTCTGACCTTGGCCTGCATGAGTCAGCTGCCCCTGTTTCCTCCACAGGAGCCTGCAGGGTCTGAAAAAGCTGCCTCTGCCTGGCTCCTTCCTCTCTGGCCCCTGTCTGCCTTCTGGACACCTCCTCTCTGGCCCACCGTCCTTCCCCAAGCACCGGGTTCCTCTGGGAGGAAGTCACAGCCTGAGACTTCTATTTCTGGCTTCTATTTCTGCCTTTGACATTAACGTCTCTGAGGGCCCTCCTCGGGATCTCAGGCACTGTCCCAGGAGCCCAGGCCGCTGGGATCCACCCTGGGATCTGGTTAGGTTGGGGATGGGGACCAGCTAGCCCTGGGCTTCCTGGCCCAGCCTCACCCCACCCTGCCCTACTCCTTTCCTGATGAGCAGGGCGCTTGGGATCCCGGCTCTGATCTTGGGCAACCTTCCTTCTGTGAAAGGGGGCCATTCACATCTGCTCAGCCACTTCGGGGGGCATGGTCAGGGTCAGATGACACGGGCCTCGGAAATGCTCTGTAAAGGCAGTGTGGTTGAGAGGCTTTGCAGGAGTGACTCTCAGTGACCTCTCGGTGAGTTGGCTCATTGCACATCCCGGGTTACAGAGGCAGTGTGGTGCAGCGGTAAGAGCTTAGCCCTTGGTGCCAGACCTCCAGGGTTCCGATTCCAGCTCTGCCACCCAGGTTTTCCAGCAGGTGGCATGCTCTGCTCCTTTCCCCATCTTCATAGAGGGCCTGGTTAACACCTATAACCTGAGTTAACACATCAAAGTCCTAAAGGAGTGCCTGGTGCATAGTAAGTGCCCCATAAATTAGCTCCTTTTCTTCCGCAAGCAGACCTTGGACTTCCCAGGTCTGAATCCAAGTTCCCTTCTACGGACAAGTCTCAGGCTTCCTCGGCTCTTTCTGAAGCCTCTTTCTGGCCTGGCTCCTTCTCCCCTCCCAGATGTGAAATGCAGCTGCTAGAACCTTTTGATCTTCAGCTTTGCGCAAAGCAAAGTCTCCGCTCTTGCTGGCGTGGCCCTTGCTGCAGGCCCTGATCTGACCCCAGAGCCTTGGGTCCTGGAGAGAGGCTGCAAGCAAGGGCATGTGGAGGGCCCATTTCCAGGCCCAAAACGCTCTGATTCTCTCTCCTCTCTCCCTGCAGATGTGTGTTCCTGACATTTTTTCCAGGATGAGTCTCACTTTGCTATTTCCTGTCCGGTTCCAAGCCCCTCCCTGGGAAAAGCCCTGGACCTTGCTCACCAGAGTTCTCCTTTTCCAGACAGCGTTCTGGTGTCTAGGGGGGCCAGGAATCCCTGTGGCTCCTGCAGCCCTCCTCGGCCTTGCTTGCATGGGAAGAAGGAGGGTTTGTCAGTGACACACAGAGAGAGCCCTCGCCTGCCCCTCTAACCCCCTCTGCCCAGTGTCAGTAGCCCCTGTACCAGCGCTAGCCTCATTCTCCATGCGCACCCCCCCCCCCCTTTAGGTCAGTCAGGGTGTGCTCAGGACCACACTTCCATCCAGGGGAGGAGGGTGGACCTCTGGGATGGGGATGGTCCTGTGATTCTTAACCGGTGAGTGTGCGAATCCCCTGGAGCATCCATAACTGTTACCGGCTGGCCTGAGGTGAGGGAGCCTGACTCAGTGGCTCTGAGAAACAGCCCAGGAATCCATGTCTCACTCCTGGATGCGAACCTCACGGCCCAGCCCAGAAGTTCACTGACCACTCTTTTCCAGGGGAGAGGATACAGGGAGGAGAAGGAATAGGAGGCGTTGGCCCATGGCTTGGCGGGGACGGGGGAGGGCGGCCATAGTAGAGGATAAAGTCAGCATGCAGGCCTTACACGAGGTTTGGTAGCACTGCGAACACAAAGATGACCAAATGGCACTCAGCCCGGGCCTCCCGCAGGCTCCCCGCCTAGGAACGGAGATGCATACAGTCTGGGGGGGGGGCTTGTGCACCCTCCAAAGCAAGTCATCTCTGGAAAGCTTCTAGAATTAATAGATGAATTTTTGTCCGTTCATTCATTCATTCGAGTATTTATTGGATACAGGTACTGAGAAGTTCGAGATGAATTCATCACAGTCCCTGCCTTCAAGGTGCTTCTATTTCAGCAGAGGTACAGGCGATTACAGGGTGAGCCCCAGGGGGCCCAGAGCCCAGCCTGGGGTGCAGGTGGCAGGGAAAGGCAAGGAGTCAGGACAAGTCTCACAGAGGTTTATCTTTATTGAGCTATACAACAAATCCACCATTTCAGGTGTTCAGTTCAGTAATGAGGAGGATATGTATGTACCCAGGAACCATCGATCCAAAAGGCTCCCTCGTGCCCCTTCCTGGCCAGCCAACCCCCTCACCCCCACCCAGGTGCCAGGCAACTACTGAACTTCCTATCAGTGTAGATTAGACTTTTTCCCGCAGTCCTTTGTGTCTGGCTGCTTTCACTTAGCACAATGTGCTAGAGGTTCATCCACGTGGCCGTGCACGTCCACAATTTGTTCCTTTTTATTTCTGAGCAGTTAAAGGAGATGATGTTTAGCTGAATTTTGGAGGACAGTTGAACTTAGCCCGATAAACAAAGAGAGGGAGGGCATTTGGACAGAGGGGCCAAGGTGAGACAAGACCAGAGTCTCCAGGACATGGACTATGGAGTTGGGATGGAGGAGGAGAGGGACAGGCTGTATCTTCGATTTCTTTCTCCTCCCTGCGCCTCTCTCCTGCTGCCACACTTTGTTTTCACAAGCAAGACCACTTCCTTCTGGCCAGGCCGGGCTCCCCCGAGGGGCCGAGGCCAGGGCAGGCCATGAGGCGGTCCTGCCAGGCCATCGCGGCCTGGATGTGCATTATGGGGTCACAGCAAATCCGTGCACACTGGTCAGGGGAGGGGGCTCTGAAGTTCCCTGGGGCTCTGCTGGGTTTGCTTTCCTCTGAGTGATTTGGTATTAGTCATTTGGAAAAATCTTGATCTTGTTTAAGGGAAAGAGGCTTTCCCTCCCACACCCACCCCTGTGGCAGGCAGGTGTGATGGCTGCTGGGGCCCTTCTGCTCCGGCCTGCGGGGTGCAGGGTCTCAGCAGCCCCTGGTGGAGCATGTGCTGGGCTCAGCAGCAGCCTGAGGTCACATGGAGTTGACACCATGCCTGACCTGCCCCCATTCAGCCCAGCTGCCGGGTCCCATCCTCTCCAGAACTACTTCTCCAACGTGGCTGGAATGCGGTCGCTATGGCCTGGAGATTTGGAGGCCAGACTGAGGCAGAACTGAGGTGGCCAAGCTTGCCTGGCTGGGAGCTGCTGCTGGAGGCATCAGCTCACCCTCAGTTTCTGCCTCTGTCTCCAGCTCACCCTTTACCTGCCTGTGTCCCCCTACCCACTAACCCGTGTCCTGGGTATCTCCAAACGAAGAAGAGTCTTCACGTACCCAAGTGATTTTACTTTTATTGTCTGTGAATTTGAGGATTAATTCAGACGTTGTGGATTCGCAGGGTTGGGCTCAGGGGCCTCAAGGGGCTCATGAAATTTGGAGAAGCTGAGTCGAAAGTAGTGATTCAGCCCCAGCCTGACTCTTTTAGCCAAATCACATCTGACTTAACCCCGGAGGGCCTTGGGGTGGGACTCCGGGTCCCTCCTGAAGGGAGGGGAGGGGTCCTGGGTGTGGCAGGAGTGGAGCGTGTGACACGGTCGTCTGTGTGGTTTCCCCGCAGGTGATCCATGGACTGAGGGCGTATGATGGCGTGTCCCTGCCTGAGGACGCCGAGACGGTCACAGCGGGCCGGGCTGGCTGGAGTAACTCAGACCTTTCTGACGACGAGGACTTACTGGCTGACGAAGCCTCCGGAGGTGGGCAGAGGATTCCCGGGGCCGGGAGTGGAGGGAGGGAGGGGCAGAATCAGGTTGTCCCCACCAGGCCCTAAAGAGGCCTCAAGAAGCTTGCCCAAGGTTGCGCCTCAAAAGACGGGCTGAGAGCTGTGTATGTCCTGAGCCCTGATTCCACGGACTCCAGGATTCTCCGCTCACAACCTGGTGACTCTGGGCTAGTGGCAGCTCCTCTGCTGTGCAGTCCCCTCCTAGGAAGGATGGGCAGGACCGATGGGGACGGTGGGGGGACAGTTCGTGCCCTATTCCGTCTCCTCCTGTCCTCACCTGGAGGCCAGTCCGGCCTGGTCCCTCTCCCCCAGCACCCTGGGCCCACACCCTCTCTCCAGGCCAGGCCTCCCCAGGCTGGGGCAGGAGGTAACAGTTGTGTTTGACCTTTCCCACTCTGTGCTCAGAACCGTGCCTGACACCCAGTAGTTACTCACCAAATATCGCTGCTGAACAAGTCTCTCTTTTGCTTACAGATGGCCTGGGCAGTGGAGACGTGGGCAGCGGGGACTTCCAGATGGGTAAGTTGCTGGTCCATCCTAGAGGCCCTTTCCTGTGTCTGGGGAAGTCCAGAGCTGGTCTTCTCGGCCACAGAGGCCCTATCTCTGGGTCCTTGGTCCTGCTGTGAAGGTGGCCTTGTCCCTCCTAAGTGACAGCTGTGTGCAGGTGCCTGCAAGGTCGTGCATGGCCAGGCTCTGTGCTTGCCTGTGCCAGGAAATACCCGATTCCATGGTCAGGAGATCAGGCACGTTCAGGGTGGTATGGCTATAGATAAGGAATGCCCGGCTCTGATAGGGACTGAAAGCCAGCTGCTCAGCATTCAAAGCAAAATCCTCACTTCCCAGGGCAACTGAGCTGTGACGTTCTTCCTGAGTCCCCCTGGGGACCGCTGCAGAGCCGGAACCCCAGCAGGGTGGGCAGCCAGAGGGGCTCTGTGGCATAGAGCTGGCCAACAGAGCTGATGGGGGGATGAAGGAGGGAGTCATCCTCACCTGGGACATGGGAGGGAACCCTGCCTTAGGGCAGGTCATCTCTGGGAAGCCAAGGGCTCCCAGGTGGGGAAAGAGGGCTGGGCTTCACGGAGGGAAAGGAATCAGGAGCTCTGTCAGATGCCCACTCTGCCAGCACCCTAAGTGCCAGCCAGAGTAGGGGCTGGCCCAGCACTGGGATAGAGACTCAGAGTCCCTACTCCCTCCCACCCAAGGATGCTGGGTAGAGAAGGGACTAGCTGCTCACAGGTCCCAGCAGCTCCAGAGAGTCCCCACTGACCTCTGGGAGCCAGTGCTGGGCACTCTGTGATCGGAGCCAAGGGTGGGGCTTGGCTCAGCCTGACCACTGGACATTCCCCCCACCACCCAGTGCTGCCCACACTGGGAGGCCTGGGGCGGGTCTGGCCTGGGCATCTCCAGGGGTGAGGTCGACTCCCTTCAGCTGGCATCTCAGGGGCATCCAAATACCAGTGGGCGGCAATCCCACCTTAGCCAGTGCAAACAGGAGGGTTGGCCTGTGGGCGGGGTAGTCCTGACTGTGACCTCCAGGCTCCTGGGACTCAGAGACTGCCTCTGCAGGGCTAAGGATGCCTGGGAGCTGGGCTGGCCCGGGAGTGGATGCCAAGTGGGTGCCAAGCTCACGTCCCAGAATGGCCTGGGCTGATGCAGCCCTGGGAGCTGCCTCTTGACAAGCCAGGCCTGCAAGTGAAGGGCCTGGTCCGGTCCACCCTGTCCACTTGGGATATCTATAGCCCCTCCCATGGGGCTGCCCACTGCAGCAGCTTGGCCCACTCTGAATGTTTACCAGCCTGTTCCCCCATGAGAAGCCGCTGTGAAGGCAGGGGAGGCCAGGGTGGGGGAAGGGTTGGGATGGGCAGGAGCAGCTGGGGAGGGCCCGAGTGTAGGGCCCCTTCCTCGTGGATATGGCTGGTCCGTGGGAAGATGCTGGGCTTTAGATCTTCTAGGCCCAAGCCCTGGCACCTCCCGCTGCCTCTGGGCCAGCTCCATGCAGCTGGGCTGAATCTTAGCCCGGGAGGCAGCAGGTGTGTCTGGTTCCCAGGGGCTCAGCATGCATTCTTCAGCCCTGCCCTCCCCATGCTGCTGAACGAGGGCCATGCTGGCCGTGATGGGGCCACCCCCGGCTGTGCCCCTGCCTGGGCCCTGGGCCAATCCAGACCCTGGAATGTAGCCTCAGAGATGGCACCTCCCTTCTCCTCTTCCCTCTGGCCAGGCTCTGCCCCAGCCCTGTCCCCATCCCCTCCCACGTGCCCCTCCTGGACAGCCCCTGCCCACTTCCGCCCATCCAATTTCTTTCCATCTTCTGACCTGTCTCTCTGTCTTTCCTGTCTCCGTGTCTCTCCCGCTTCGCCCTTCCCCTGCCTGGGCTGTCTCTCTCCTGCTCTGTGCCTCATCCTTCTGTCTCACTCTGTCTGTCTTCCTCCTTGGCTTGCCTCCTCTACCCCTCTGTGCCTCTATCTTTGCCCTCCCTTCCTTCTGCCTTTGTCTCACTTCTTTCATTCTCCTCCCACTTTCTCCATGTCTCCGTCTGCATCTCTCTGTGTCTCTGTTGTTCCCCTCCCTCCCTACCTCCGTCTGTTGTCTTCTTTCTCCATTCATGTCTGTCTTTCCCTTTGGTCCTCCCCGCCTGCCTTGCTGTGCTGCCCCTCCTCGCCTCCCTCTCCGCTGCTCCACTCTGCAGGCCCTGGGCCCCCCCTGTCTGGCATGATGGTCTCGGAGCCTGATGAGGCGTCTCCTCTCAGTAAGTGACTTGCCAGCCTGGTAGACGCATTCTCTCTCTCCCTCCACACCCTCTCTCCCAGCTCTCCCTTCTCACTCCTTTTCCTTCCTCATCTCTTCCTCCCCAGCTTGCACTTTGTCACACTTAAAGCCCTGCCCCAGCCGGCCCACCTTCTCCCCTGCCCTGCTCAGGATGCAGTTAGGCCCCATGTAGGCCTGGTGTCATCCCCATGGGGTACTGGGTGGGCAGGGATGGGTGTGGTGACCTCTGGAGGGGAAGGCCCTGGAGGCAACTTGTGTCCACCTGAGGACCGGCTGGTCATGGGCCCACCGATGGGATCCAGGGCTGGGGTTCAGCGGCCTAGGTTTGTGTGGGAGCTCTGGTGAGCAGGGAGTGAGCATGGGGAGTAAGAGGGTAGATTGCATTCCACACCCCCTCCTGGGCGCAAGGCAGCTCTGGGCCTCCTGTCCCTCCAGCCTCTGGCTCCGAGTGAGCTCTCCAGATGGGGTCAGGATGAGGACTAGGAGGGAGAGGGCTGGCCTGGGCAGGCACCCAGTGAGCACTCCCAGCTCTGGCAGCACCCCCCCTTCCAGCACCCTCAGCTCTGGAGGCTGGTTCCTGAAACAGACAGGCCTCACCTGCCCCAGCCCTCAGGCTCCGGCTGCAGGGACACACCCAGGGCGAAGGAGGGAAGGGCTCGCCCTGACCTACCCTGGTTTGCAAAACGCCGGGGTGGGGTCAGGCTGGAGGGTCCATGCCCTTCCCAGGCCCTCGGAGAAAGGGGCTTTGTGGAGCGGTCACATTCCTGGGCAGAGGCCTGGCCTCCTCACCCTCTCCGTGCCGTGGGCTGAGGCCAGGGGCCAGGGTTGGGGGGACTCTCAATGGACCTCTGTGCCCGCTCACAAGGGGCCTCTGTGGCCAAGCTCGTGGCTTCCATACTCCGGCCCCCAGAGCCCCACCCGCCTGGCCCCCAGGAGTTCGGTCCGGCATGTCCCTGAGGCTCAGAGCAGGCAGTGCTGCCCTCACAAGCACCCTCTCTTGGAGTAGAAGTTTAAGTTTACTCTTGTACCGGCCGCCTCCGCCTGGGCTTGCTCAGCCTGAGCCTCAGAGGGACAGGGTCCTGGTTCTGGAGGCGTGCACACCTAGGGTGAAGAGGGAGGAGGACAGGCCTGGAGTTAGGCCCAGCGGGTGCCCCTTCCTCTGCCACCTACTGGCTGGTTTTCTGTCACCTCTCTGAGCCCACTTCTGCCTCAGGGGCTTTGCAGCTGCTGTTCCCTCAGCCTGGAATGCTGTTCTCTCAGCTGCCTCCCGTGGCTCACTACCTTCTTTCAAGCGTGCCCCGTGAGGAAAGGCCTTCCCTGGCCCCCCGGGGAGAGTGGCACCTACCGCCACATAATCCATACTCATTTGTTTCATTTTCTTTCTCCTCCCGCTGGACGGTGATCTCTGTGGGGACAGGACATGCCATTTGCGGAGTTCACTGCTCCATGCCCTGCGCCTAGAACACCGCCTGGCATACAGAAGGCCCTCAGTATAGATTTGTTAAAGCAATGCATGCCCCCTTCAGATGGGAAGAAATGAAACCAAATTCATTCCTCCCATTCATTGTAAAGATCAGAGGGAGCCCTAACCGGTTTGGCTCAGTGGATAGAGCCTCGGCCTGCGGACTGAAGGCTCCCAGGTTTGATTCCGATCAAGGGCATGTACCTTGGTTGCGGACACATTCCCAGTAGGGGGTGTGCAAGAGGCAGCTGATTGATGTTTCTCTCTCATCAATGTTTCTAACTCTCTATCCCTGACTCCCTTTCTCTCTGTAAAAAATCAATAAAAATTAAAAAAACAAAACAAAAAACAGAGGGAATAATTACAGCCAACTTCATGTAGCTCCTACTATGTGCCGGCCACTGTTACAAGCACCTAACATTTGTTAACTTACTCTTCACAACTCTTATCTGGGGTGGGCACTACGATTACTCTCATTTTATAGACGAGGGAATGGAGGCTCAAGGTCACAGGGCTGTAAGGGCAGTTTTGCTCCAGAAGCCGAGCTTTTTTTTTTTTTTTTTTTTTTAAATATATTTTATTGATTTTTTACAGAGGGGAAGAGAGAGGGATAGAGAGTTAGAAACATCTATGAGAGAGAGTCACCGATCAGCTGCCTCTTGCACATGTGCCCGCAACCAAGGTACGTGCCCTTGACCGGAATCGAACCTGGGACCTTTCAGTCTGCAGGCCGACGCTTAATCCACTGAGCCAAACCGGTCTTGGCCAGAAGCCTAAGCCTTAGCTAATCACTAAGCTACACTGCCTCTCATATAGGAATTGGTCACAATATTTTGTACCTACTGTGTGCCAAGCTCTGTGCTAAGCACTTTGTACATATTGAAAACTCATTTGTAACTCATGTCAACTCAGTATTTTTTCCCCCCAACTCAGTATTTATAATTTATACCAAACATATCAAACTCTCAATCCTTAGGTTGCATGCCTCGTTTATTTGGCCTGTGTTAGCCCTCGAGTTTGACATGCTCGATTTACACCTGAACTCATGACATTGAGAATTAATGCATTAAACAATCCTGTCCTTAATAGGTGCTCAAGAAATGACGGGGGCATACCCATAAACCTTGCTTGACTGTGCTCATGGCCAGGCAGGGGGGACAGTGGATGCAAGGGTCATTTGGAGTTTGTGCCAATTCTAGCCAGCCTATTCAGTGGCTGGATAAGTTGCATTACGTCAACATTTTCTTGCCTCTCAACAGAGAGGAGAATAGTGGCATTAACTCTGGGGAAAAAAAAAAAAAAAGAAGAAGAAGAAATGACTGGTGTATGTGTTTATGTACTTATGTATGAGTCATTTGCAACGTATATTAACTTACATTTATAACTGCTATATGAATTCGTTAACATTATGAGGTGTAATGTGTACAAAATGTATAGTAGTTACTAAGAAACGCTCGGTGTATGTATCTGTTCACACCAATCTGATATGAATTGATTCAGCCATCACTTATTAGGCACCTCCCATGTGCTCGATGCGCACACTGGGGATACAGGAATGCATGAGATCTGTAGTCTCCACGCCCCCCTGATATCAGTTTCAGAGTCCAGCAGTAGAGAGGGAGGCATCTGAGCACACAGAGAGACGGTGCACAAAGGCACATCATTTATTCCCTCCAGCTGCCCAGTGTGTTAATGTCATCACTGTCCCCAGTTGACTGAGGAAGCTCAGAGGTGAGGTCTGAGATGTGGCTCGCCTCAGAACCCCTGATGTTTATGAAGATGCTCTAGGATCCACAGGCACTCAGGCAGGACTGTGCCAGGTGGGGTAGGAGGTGCTCTGGAGGAGAAGCAGAGAGCCTGAGGGAGCCTCAAGGAGGGGTCTCTAACCAGCCAGGGTCGGAGGAGGTGACGGCTGAGCTGAGCTCAGTCCTGAGGGGTGAGGAGGAATTGGCCAGGGAAGAGTGGGGAAACATGTTGGTCACTTGCATGTCAAACTCAAAGGCGAACACAGGCCAGATAAACGAGGCGTGCGGCCTGCGGGTCGAGAGTTTGATATGCTTGGTGTAAATTATACATACTGAGTTGGGTACTAGGCCAGCCTCCTCTGGAAGCCACTTTTCTTGTTCAGCTTTCCTCTGCGCTGCCAGGGGTCTCCTCTTCTGCACCATCACTTGGTTTCTGGGTCAGATCACTTTCCCTATTAGTTGAAGCCCCTCACTCAAAGGTGGACCTTGGCTTTGACCCCTGGGACAGACCAGCCAGGGCCACTGTAGTATGTGCTGATAGGGGCCCGTGCTGGGCAGAGCCGGGCAGAGCTGTAGGCTCACAGGTGTCTGCCTCAGTGAGAGGCCTCAGGGAACATCTCCCTTTTCCCACCTTCGGCCTGACTGCCTGAGGCCACCACGCAGTGACACCCCTCTCCTCCCCTCCCTGCAGTTTACTTCCGAGCCCTGGTGAATTTCACCCGCTCCATCCACTACAGCCCTCAGCTGGAGGACGCCAGCTCCCAGGCTTTCCGAGAAGTATCCGAGGCCGTGGTAGACGCGGTGAGGCGAAGGGGCTGTTGGGAGCTCCCCAGGATTCGGGGGGCAGGACTGAGGGTGGAGTGAAGGCATCTGGAGGCTGATGGCGCTGTGTCCTCTTCTCCCCCCACCCCCCAGCTGGAGTCAGAGTACTTGAAGATTCCTGGAGACCAGATTGTCAGTGTGGTGTTCATCAAGTGAGAAGGGGCCCCTGGGGGCTGGTGGGTAACCCGGAAGGAGCTGACAAAGACGGGGAGAAGCCTGGGTACTAGGAGGGGAAGCAGAAGAGGTCTAATCACGTGAATCTCTATTGGTGAAAATTCAGGAATTGATGGGGGCACAATTGGGACCTTACCATGCCCTGCGTGGGCCACAGGGTGTCAGGAGATGAGGTCTAACTCTCCGATGGGATCAAGGGAGGAGCTGAGAGCACAGGCCTCTTCCTCACGCTGCTCCCCTGCCCCTAGGGAGCTGGATGGCTGGGTCTTTGTGGAGTTGGACGTGGGCTCCGAGGGGAATGCAGACGGCGCTCAGATCCAGGAGGTGCTGCGCTCGGTCATCTCCAGGGGCTCCATTGCCTCCTACGCCACCTCTCCCCAGGGGTTCCAGTTCCGACACCTGGGCACAGGTGAGCCCATCCTGGAGCCTGGGGCTACCTCCTCCAGTTTAGGAGACTCAGGAGGATCCCTTTTGAGTATCCCCACATGGACTATCTTAGCTTGGGCTTGCACACCACTGGGGACAGGGAGCTCACCCCCTGATGAGTCTGCCCCACCCTGATGCAGTCTTGTCTTGAGTTGAGCATACATGGTTTCCTCTAACTTGTACCTATTAAACCCAATTTCTGCTCTCCATCCACCTCTCTATACATTGACAATAGGTAATCTTTTCCTCATACAGCACTTTCAGATCCAAAACTTTTGTTTAATAATAACCAACAATTACTAACTGAGCACTGAATACATGCTAGACACTCTGTAAAGCCCTATGTCCAGCCTCCCATTCAATCATCACAATAATTCCTGTGAAATAGATATTATACACCCTGCTTTAGAGATGAGGGTTTTGAGGCCTAGAAAGGAAAAAAAAACCCGACTTGTCCAGATCCACATACACAGACAATGGAGAAAGAAAGAATTTAAGTCAAACCCTGTTTCTATTGCCAGTCTTGCCAGAATCTATGATAAGATGAGGTGAGAAACTGAGGCTCAGAGAGAATAGGAAACTGGCCCGAAGCCACACGGCTGTTAGAAGCAAAGTCTGGGCCTTTGTACTCTCCGTGGACTCAGGGTTTTTTTACGGCATCCTGTCTCCTATTTTGAGTCCCTGAGTCTTTTCTTCTCGAGGCTACACAGTTCCAGCTCATTGCTCCCAGGCTAAGGGTCTCAGCTGTCCCTATTTCAGTCCCCGCTCCTGGGAATCTCCAACATAGCACCCTCTCTGACTTCGTGGAACTCAGGACTGAACAAACTCCCTGTCATGGTGTAGCCCAATCAGGGAAATGTAGTGCAGCCATCGCCTTCTCCTTCTGCATGTAAACCGTTATGTCCCCGAAGGCCAGTTTGCTCTTCTGACATCCCCCAGCCCAGGTCTGAAGATTGCAGGGGGTCCAGTCCTCTGCATTTTTCAATGAGTCTTCAGGGCTAGGGATGGTGGATGGGCCTGGCCCAGCCCTGCAGCTCCCAGCTCCCAGGTCCCAGGTCCCAGGGGGATGGCTGCTGATCACCCCTTCCTTTCCAGCACAGACACCCCCGCCCCAATTGGCCCCTGGGGCGGCCTCAGTGACACCAGGTGAGAGTAAGCCAGACCCAGGCCCAGCAGAGTAACTGAAGTTAATAGGTGGAGGGGAAGGAAGGATGAGGGCAAGATGGCTGGGCACAGCCCAAAAGCCACCCCTTCTCCTCTTTCCTCTTTATCCTCTCTGGGCCAGGTTGTGGCCTGCATGTGTGTCATGTGGTGGCTGCATGTGTGTGGCATGTTAACTGTGTGGGAGGCCTGTGCCATACAGTGTGTCTCATGGGTGCTGTGGATGTGCCCACCATCTGCTCCTTGCCCTTGCTGAGTCTGCCCAACACCACATGGCCTGACACGGGGCACCAAAGCCCATGCCCAGCCTCGCGGTGCCTGAGCTGTCCTTGACGCCTCCCATCAGCTTTCCACCTGCCCCTCTGACTCCCCCAATCCCTCAGTGCCCCAGATCTCCAGAGTGTGCACCGAGGCTGAGTTTGCCTGCCACAGCTACAACGAGTGTGTGGCCCTGGAGTATCGCTGTGACCGGAGGCCTGACTGCAGGGACATGTCTGATGAACTCAATTGTGGTGAGGGGCTGCCTGGGGGCACGGTGGCCTGCAGATGCCAGGGAAGGGGCAGGATATGCCTGGGCTGCCAAGTCAGTCAGGGTTGTAAGGGTTGGGTGCAGGCAGAGGGGTCTGAGGGAGGTGGGCAGGGACATGGAAGGGTGATACCAGGGTCAGGGCGGGCCTGGGGCGTGTGGGGTGCAAGGGGTGAGGAGTCACACATACACACACACACACACACACACACACACACACACCCGCCAACGCCAAGTGGTCTGTGTCCACAGAAGAGCCAGTTCTAGAGTTTGGCCCCACGCCACCCCATCCGGTGGAGGCTGCACCTATCACACCATGGTCAAACATCTCAGCGTTAGTTCCAGAAACCCTGACTCCCCATCTTGTCAGGCCCTGTGGGCCCCATGAGACCTCCTGTCGCAGTGGGCATTGCATCCCCAAAGACTATGTCTGTGACGGGCAAGAGGACTGCAAGGATGGCAGTGATGAGCTGGACTGTGGTGAGGACTGGGCAGGGAAGGAGGGAGGGAGGGAGAGGGTTCAGGGTGGGGGACCTGGCCAGGGGCGGGCCTCTGGCTGAACCCTGCCCGGTTCACTCAGGCCCCACGCAGCCCTGCGAGCCCAACGAGTTCCCCTGTGGAAGCGGGCACTGTGTCCTCAAGCTGTGGCGCTGCGATGGCGACTCTGACTGTGACGACCACACCGATGAGGCCGACTGCCGTAAGTGCCCCGGGGTGTGCCCGGCGTCCCCGCCCCGCCCTGGCCTGGTTCACCCCTGTTCTGTCCCTTCTTGGGTAGGTTTGTTTACTCTCCCCGGCTGCGTGGTGACGGCCCTGGGGACAAACTTTAAGGTTCATCTCTCTCTCTGACCCCAGCATTGAGAGCCCTTGGCTCTGAGCTGGTCTTTGTAGCAAGCAGTCTGGGCAGATTGCCCATGGTTAATGTCCCTCTCTTTCTTTTCTTTATTTTGTTACCATTAATCTTGTCTGTGTTATTTATGCTTGTGTGCGGGTCGGATGAGTGGCCAAGAGGGCTCTGTGTATACACCAGGGTTCTTTGCTCATGGGTTCCTTGATGCATGTGTGAGTCAAAGGCCCATTCCCTGTATGGGCCTTGAGGGTTTTCACCTAGAGCTGGTTCTGAGTTATTTGTTCCTTCATCATCAGCCCAGCTCTTAATCCATCTGTCCATTCAACTGTCTATTGTCCATCTGTCCAGCATCCTTCTTTCCTCCCATCTGTCTGCCCACCCTTTCATCCAACTATCTATCCACCATTGCCTAGCTGCAAAGTTCTTCATCTCTATATCAACCTATCTATTCAACATCCTCCTATCCATCTCACCATCCATTCTATTATCCACCCATTCACTGTCCATCTATCCACCCATCTGTCCATCTATCCATTTGTTCAACATCCTTCCTCCCATCCATCTCTCCACTTGGCCGTCCATTCAGTGGCATCTTTCCCGCTTCATCCACCTATCTGTTGTCTAGGAGCAGGGAACGAGTCAAAGGAGTGAGGGGATGGGGTGGGGGAGTAGGGTAATGTGATGAGCTATTGGATGGCTGCCTTGGTGATGGTGACATTGTGGGCAGTATTGTGGCAAGTGTCTGGGCCTGGGTGGGGCATCTGTGTGTCACGTGAGTGAGATGAGAGAGTGACCCTGGAAATACCTGGGGAAGGTGGACAGGGTGGGGCCGTGGGCACAGGTCAGAAATGGGGGTGGTCCACCCTCTCCCCACACCACCTGCTCTGTCCCCCAGCTGCCAAGCACCCCGAGGATGTGTGTGCGCCCACCCAGTTCCGCTGTGTCTCCACAAACGAGTGCATCGCAGCCAGCTACCACTGTGACAAGGAGAGCGACTGTTCTGACCGCAGCGATGAGATTGGCTGCAGTGAGCAGGGAGCTGGGGGGCGAGAGGGGGCCCTGGGCTGGTTTCCACTGGCCCCTCTCTACCGTCTCAGCCTCAGCCCTCCTTCTGCCTGGCTCCTCTGATCCACCCCCACCCCCCACCTCCCACTCTTGTCCCTTTGCCCCTCACACCCCTCACATCTGCTTCTGTCTTCCAGTGCCTCCCCAGGTGGTGACCCCTCCTCAGGAGTTGATCCAGGCTTCCCGGGGCCAGACAGTGACCTTCACTTGTGTGGCCATCGGTGTCCCCACCCCCATCATCAACTGGCGACTCAACTGGGGCCACATCCCGTCTCATCCTAGGTGTGGCCCTGGGCCTGGGTTGGGGGCTGGGGATGTAAAGGTGGCTGGGCCAGTGGCCCAGGCCTGACCCTGCCTCTGTCTTGGGACTCACCAGGGTGACAGTGACCAGTGAGGGAGGCCGAGGCACGCTGATCATTCGAGACGTGAAGGAGGCAGATCAGGGCGCCTACACCTGTGAGGCCATGAATGCCCAAGGCATGGTGTTCGGCATTCCTGACGGCGTCCTGGAGCTCATTCCCCAGCGAGGTGCCGCCATCGGGCTGGAGGGCACGGGCACGGGGGTGGGCCGGGGCTGCCTGCCTGGGGCCTGCTGCAGCCCACTCTCCTGCCACCCGACAGGGCCCTGCGCTGATGGGCACTTCTACCTGGAGCACAGCGCCTCCTGCCTGCCCTGCTTCTGCTTTGGGGTTACCAACGTGTGCCAGAGCAGCCGCCGCTTCCGAGACCAGATCCGGCTGCGCTTTGACCAGCCTGGTGACTTCAAAGGTGCGTCTGTCGGTGGGCAGGTGGATGGGCGCCCTCGGGGGTGGGAGGCAGGTACCAGGCTCCAGCGGGCTTAGGGGGAGGGAAGACATGGGGGGACAGCAGCACTGGGAAGGGATACAGGTTGTTGAAGAAATGCCGAGTCCTGTTGAGAAAAGGGAGGAAACAAGCATCTTTAGGAAAAGCCGAATGCACCCCTGACATTTGCCTGCTTCAGGTTGTAAAGAAGATGGGCTCTGGCATCCGATTCCCGGTTCAAATCCTGGCTCTGGCCCTTACTGCTTGGGTACCCTTGGCCAAGCCTATCTTGTGCCTCAGTTTTCTCATCTGCAAAGTGGGGAGAAAATAGTACCTCCCCGGTAGTTGTAATGACTTAGTGGGTTAATACATGTCAGCCTCTCAGAATGCTCTTGGTCCACGGGAAGTGCTCACTAAGGATTCCCTACGATCTCCCTCATCCTGACAGGTGGAGAGGTGTCATTGCCCCCCCACTCCCCTCAGAGCATAAGAGCCCAGGCTTTGGCACTTCAGCCCAGGGCTGACCTCCAGCTGCACCAGAGTGCTGCCTGTGTGACTTTGGCCAAGTCTCTTGGCTTCTATGGGCCTGTTTTCCCAAACATAAAGGCAGGCAGCTGGACTCGGTTCTCTTGCTTTGAGAGGCAGAATGGCATCGAACCAGACATCAGACAGACCTGGGTTCAAGTCCCGGCGTTGTCATTCACCACCTGACGTTAGCCAGCCAGCCCCTCGTCTCATGCCTCCATCACAGAAGGTTAAATGCAAGTGGAAGGCTTAGCGCCTTACACAGCCAGCACTCGGCAGACGCCGCCTGCGCTGCCCCTTTGGTGGTGAAGGAACCTCAGAGTGACTCATGAGATGTAATTACCTCCCAACGTCATTCCCTTGGTTTATTTATTTATTTATTTTAAAATATATTTTATTGATTTTGTACAGAGAGGAGTGGAGAGAGAGAGAGAGAGAGTTAGAAACATCGATGAGAGAGAGTCATCCATCAGCTGCCTCTTGCACACCCCCTACTGGGGATATGCCCGCAACCAAGGTACATGCCCTTGACTGGAATCGAACCCGGGACCCTTCAGTCCCCAAGCCGATGCTCTATCCATTGAGCCAAACCGGTCTCGGCTCCCTTGGTATATTTAGAACAATAATGGCCACGGGCACCATTTCACAAGCACCCAATTGGCACTGTGGCTCGACTCACACAGTCGTTGGTGGCGAATAGTCCTGGCCGGGTTGAGGCCATATAAGGGAGCTCGAGGTTCTTAGAGGTTGGGGCGGGGTGGGGGGATGGTGGTGTCACAGCTGTTTTTAGAGGCATAGCTGATTGGAATCAGAACCATTAAGGTGGGCGGGAAATCCCAGGGTGAGTAGGTGGCCGGAACGTGGATGGTGACCAGGGTAGAGGGGAACCTAAAAACATCCCTGGGAGGGAGGGGGGAAGGCAGGTGTGGGGCAGGGTAGCCTGGCCTTGGGGGGCTGTGTGTGCTCATTCTGCAGAGGAGGGGCTGGGCTCCTCCATGTTGCTGGGGCACACTTAGGGTCAAGGGGAAAAGCCATTGCAGGTGTAGACAGATACAAAAGCAGGTGAAGAGCTATTTGAGAGTCATGTCCAGGCTCAGGAGGGACTGCCTTGGGAAGGAATGAGCTCCCCATCCCTGAGAGCGGTCCAGTGTGGTCGTCATTAGCCACGGGTAGCTACTTAAATTTAAATAAATTAATTCAGTTCCTTGGTCACTCTAGCCACATTGCAAGTGCCCAGTAGCCACACGTGGGCAGTGGCCAGCATATTGGGGAGTACAGTAGAGGGTATTTCCATCACCACAGAACCTTCTCTTGGATGGCTGATGCTCCTCTAGAGGTCTGGAGAGGGTTCCTGTGTGAGTGGGAGAGGGTTAGAGTTGATGACCTGTTGCAGTTAGAGCAGCAACAGCTCACCATCCAACAGCAGCAATAATAGCCGTTTTGAGCACTTCCTCTGTGCCACCCTTTGTTTTAAGCATTTTTTTTTATCAGTCTGCTCATTTTCTTAATAATTCTGTCAGGCAAGCCACTATTACCCCATTTTACATATCAGAAAACTGAGGCCTTTGCCCAGACTTACATTTGGAGGAGGGTGGCAGAACCAGGTCTTGGGTACCTATTCTTCAGCCCCGTGTAGCTCTTTACTGCCCCCCTGAGGGCTGTTCCAAACCTTACAGCTCCTGGACCTACTGGCAAGCAAAAGGGTCTGAGAAGTCCTGTTACGAAGAATCCCTTTGACCTTTCTTTGACCCCGTGGTTCCCAAATAGTCCCCAACCAACCATCATTCTACAGCCGTGGCTCTCCCCAGAGCATGCTTTGGTAAAGGCTGTGCCAAAGCTCCAGGAAGAGAAAGAAACCACCTTTTTTTTTCCTTTGGGAAAGAGACTGAAGTTCTCCCTAAATCAGATTTCTTTCCCATCCTTTAAGATGGTATCTCGGGCAGTTACATGCTATGGCTCTCAACCCCTCCCTCTTGCCGCCCACAGGCGTGAAGGTGCTGATGCCCTCGCAGCCCAGCATGCCACCCCTCTCCTCCACTCAGCTGCAGATCGACACTGCTCTGCAGGAGTTCCAGCTGGTGGACCTGTCCCGGCGCTTCCTGGTTCACGACTCTTTCTGGGCTCTGCCCGAGCAGTTCCTGGGCAACAAGGTGAGGGGCCCGGCTGCCCCCTGGATCAGAAGGGGACGAAGCCCCTCTTCACAGGCCCAGAACCTGCCTGGGCCTGCTTCCCTCCTTCTGACGCTAGTGGGCAGCAGGGAAGACTCGGCTGTGGGGCAAGGTGCCGTGCCCCAGCACGGCCCCTGGGGGCAGCAGCTCTTTATCCTGCCCGCTCCTCTCAAGATGGGAGGAATGCCAGCCGACTCGGCCTTCAGAAAACCTTCCTGGGCCACCTCCACAGCAGGACTGAAAGGAGGGCCCCTCCTCGGGTCTCCCTGGGCATCCTCTGCATAGAATTATCATATTCCTCACCGCATTGGGTTGCGCACCCCACAGGCAGAGCCCAGGTCCCACCCATCTCTGCTCCCTGTGCCCAGCTCCATGCCAGGCACACAGTGATCACCAGGTTGCAGAGCGAGGGGGAGGGATGGCTGAGCACACAATGGGCATCAAGCATATCCATGGCTGCCCTGCCCTGATTTGCTCTGTCTTGGCCAGGTGGACTCCTACGGGGGCTCGCTGCGCTACAAGATACGCTACGAGCTGGCACGAGGCACGCTGGAGCCCGTGCAGCGGCCGGATGTGGTCCTTGTGGGTGCCGGATACCGCCTACTCTCTCGAGGCCACACGCCCACCCAGCCTGGCACTCTGAACCAGCGCCAAGTCCAGCTCTCTGAGGTGGGCGGTGCCTGAGCCCTCAGGGCCGGGGGTGAGGGGGTGCAGGTTGGGCAGACGCTGACGGGTGACCCCTCCGCCCCCACACCTCTGTCTGTACCCAGGAGCACTGGGTCCATGAGTCTGGCCAGCCGGTGCAGCGGGCGGAGATGATGCAGGTGCTGCAGAGCCTGGAGGCTGTGCTCATCCAGACGGTGTACAACGACAAGATGGCCAGCGTGGGGCTGAGCGACATCGCCATGGATACCACTGTCACCTACGCCACCAGCCACGGCCGTGCCCACAGCGTGGAGGAGTGCAGGTGCCTGACCCAGCCGGGACCCTGGCAAGGATAGGAGAGAAACAGCAGGACCTCACAGTTCCTGCAGCCACTGGGTTGGTCCTTTGCCCACAGGTGCCCTGTCGGCTATTCCGGCTTATCCTGCGAGAGCTGCGATGCCCACTTTACCCGGGTGCCTGGAGGGCCCTACCTGGGCACCTGCTCCGGCTGCAACTGCAATGGCCACGCCACCTATTGCGACCCTGTGTATGGCCACTGTCTGGTGAGTGGTACCAGCTGGCCCTTGGACACCGGGAAGGGGGCAGGGGACAGAGACAGGGCTCATGGCCACCAGACAAGCTACTGTGACCTCTGGATGCATTACCAGAGATACAATATTCAGATGAAGGAAGTGAAAGGCCTGCTTTTTCCCACCCTTGTCAAATGCTGGAGCCCGGCTAATGTTTGCTCAGTGGTTGAGCATCGACCTGTGAACCAAAAGGTCGCTGGTTTGATTCCCAGTCAGGGCACATGTCTGGGATGCAGGCTCAATCCCTAGTAAGGGATATGCAGGCGGTAGCTGATCAATGATTCTCTCTCATCATGGATGTTTCTATTAATATCTTTCTCTCCCTTTCCCTTCCTCTCTGGATTCAATAAAAGTATATATATATTTTTAAAAATCAGTGCTAGCGAGTACCATACAAAGCAAAGGAGCCTGTAAATCCTGTTATTCCGGAGGAATAGTGGAGAGAGCTGGGAGTATGGAGCTGACAGAAGAGAAGGCTCAAGCAGGGAAATCTTTTATCTCCAAACCTCTGAAGAGCTGTGAAGGGTAGAAGGAACGGACTCCAGAGGGCAGACCTGGCCAGTGGGTGCAGACTGGAAGAGGGAGGCAGGCTTAGGCCAGCAGGAAGCAGGAGTCTGGCTGCCATGTGAGGTGATGAGCTCCTCATCAGGATGCAGCTGGATGCTTCCCTGTCTGCAAAGCTGTGGAGTCATTTCAAGCATGATGGGGGAGGCGGGGCCAGGCAGCCTCAGAGGCCCACCCTCTGGTTCAGGGCGGCCCCACACTGGGGGCAGAGGGCTGCTCTACAGAGTCTGAGCCACTCCCTTCCCTCCCTCCCAGAATTGCCAGCACAACACCGAGGGGCCACAGTGCAACAAGTGCAAGGCCGGCTTCTTTGGGGATGCCACCAAGGGCACGGCTACGGCCTGCCGGCCCTGCCCTTGCCCGTACATTGATGCTTCCCGCAGGTAGGACCCGGCTCGGGATGGGGCGGATATGTCTGGGTGAATGGGCGGTGTAACAAGCTGGGGCATTCGCTAGGCCAGTGGTCGGCAAACTGCGGCTCACGAACCGCATGCAGCTCTTTGGCCCCTGAGTGTGGCTCTTCCACAAAATGCCACGTGTGGTCGAGCACATACAGTGCGATTGAAACCTCGCGGCCCATGCGCAGAAGTCGGTTTTCTGCTCTCCAAAGAAATTTCAGTCGTTGGACTGTTGATAGTTGGCTCTGTTGACGAATGAGTTTGCCAACTACGGCTCTAGGCAGAGGTGTGACTGTGTCCGTGTGAGCAGTGGTCATTTCCCCATGTGGGATGGTAAGGCCTGGCCACCTCTGTAGTCTGTCCCGTGTCCTCTCCACTTGATCCCCATAGGTTCTCAGATACCTGCTTCCTGGACACAGATGGCCAGGCCACGTGTGACGCATGCGCCCCAGGCTACACAGGGCGCCGCTGTGAGAGGTAACAGAGGCCTGTGGGGGCTAGGGAAAGCATGTTGGGTGGGGGGTGGGGACATGGCAGTGCCACTCATGACCCACTCTCCCCCTTAGCTGTGCCCCTGGATATAAGGGCAACCCCATCCAGCCAGGCGGGAAGTGCAAGCCCACCGGTGAGTATCAGAGCCATCTTCCCCTGGCCCTCCCCTGGCTGCCCACCAGGCCTCATCCTGGAGCCTAGCATAAACCCCAGGATCCTTGAGGAATTGTCCCAGTCTGCCCCCCATCTGCCCAGATTATTATGATCTCTGAACGCATAATAATCTGCTCACTCATTTTATATATATATTAGAGGCCCAGTGCATGCATGAATTCGTACATGGGTGGGGTCTGGCCAGCCTGGCCAGGGAGAGAGAGGAAGGGACATGGACAGTTGGCCTGCCTGCCTGCTGATCAAACTCCTGGTCAAGGGAACAATTTGCATATTAGCCTTTTTATTTATTTATGTGTATGTATATATACATATATATTTATATATACAATAAAATAAATATTTTATTTATGAGTATACACACACACGAGTGGCCAGATTATTATGATCTCTGAATGCATAATAATAATAATTTGGCCACTCAGATTATGTCCCTATTATTCCTTCTTACCCTGCCCAAACCCACTTTGTACCCCCAGGCCAGGAGATCGTCCGCTGTGATGAGCGAGGCACCTTGGAGACCTCGGGGGAAGCCTGCCGCTGTAAGGTACGCATGCCTCGCCTATCGCACCCCAAGGACCTGGGAGAGGGAGAAAGGAGGACGTGTACTCCCCACTGCTCCTTGCCCGGTGGATGGTGGCCTAGCCAGAGGCTGATGGGTCTGGCTGGCAGGTTTTTCACCTCATGAGAGGTGGTTGGGGAGCCGGGTGACCCAGGTTCAGGTCCCAAGTCCTCTGCTAGTCATTCTTTGTACACCCATTGTGTTTGTATCTTTGCTTTAGTCATACTTTAGTTCGCACATGGACATGGAGAGGTAGGTGTTAGCATTGCCGATTTACAGGTGAGGAGATAGAAGTGCAGTCATTTGCATTAAGAGTGTCACTGGAAAAAAGAACTGAACAGATTTTAGAGTCCAGCACCCCAACCTTAAATCCCAGGGTGGATTAGCAAACCACGTGACTTCGTGTAAGTCATTTTGCATCCCTGAGCCTCTGTTTCCTCATGTGAAGCATGGAGATATCTCAAGGTACTTAGAGGAGTTAAGTGAGAGGATGGTTGAACAGAAACTAGCAAAGTGCATGAAACACTCCATAAACGGTAGCAGTAATTATTGTAACCAACCTGGCGTCTTTTAAATCTAAGTGTATTTGGGAACCCTCCTAGCAACTAAAGAGAAAAGGGGAGAATGATTGCATAAGCTCCCTTTCAGTGGACATTATTGTTCACATGGTCTCGACGCTTCATACATGTGCTCTTTCTATGGTTCCCCCTGCCCTCGGTGCCCGTCTGAATGTGGGCGGCCTTGGCCGGAAGCGCCCGGCAGCCCCTCCCGTGGGCCAGCCTGCAGCTCCCGGCTCTGTGCTTGCAGAACAACGTGGTGGGGCGTCTCTGCAATGAGTGTATCACCGGCTCTTTCCACCTGAGCGCCCGCAACCCCGAGGGCTGCCTCAAGTGCTTCTGCATGGGCGTCAGTCGCCAGTGCACCAGCTCCTCCTGGACCCGCGCCCAGGTATCTGCTCGAGGCGGATGGGTGGGCAAACAGGCGGGACCGCCGAGCCCAGGGCTGGGTGGACTCAGCACCAGTCCCAGGCCACAGCCCCACCTCGGCCTCTTCTCCTCTCCCAGGTGCACGGGTCCTCCGAGGCCCCCAGCCAGTTCAGCCTGACCAATGCTGCGGGCACCCACACCACCAGCATGGGCATCTCATCCCCCTCGCCCGGGGAACTGGTCTTCTCCTCCTTCCACAGTCTCCTCTCTGGACCCCACTTCTGGAACCTCCCTTCGTGTTTCCGGGGGGACAAGGTAGGCAGGGGATGATGGGAAAAGAAAGGGAATTCTGGGCAGCAGGAGCAGCACAGGCAAAGGCTCAGAAGGTCTGCGGAGTCAAGGGTCCTAGGTTCGATTCTGGTCAAGGGCATGTACATTGGTTGCGGGCACATCCCCAGTGAGGGGTGTGCAGGAGGCAGCTGGTGGATGTTTCTCTCTCATCAATCTTTCCAACTCTCTGTCCCTCTTCTTTCCTCTCTGTGGAAAATCAATTTAAAAAATATATTTTTAAAGAAAGAAAGAACGAAAAAATGGTGGGAGCAGTGGGAGGCTGGAGCAGCGGCCAGTCCGACCATGGGGGCCGCAGCTGAGCGCCTGGTCACCCCGTGCCCCAGGTGACCTCCTACGGAGGAGAGCTGCGCTTCACAGTGACCCAGCAGCCCCAGCCCGGCTCGCTGCCCCTGCACAGGCAGCCCTTGGTGGTCCTGCAAGGCAATGGCATCGTCTTGGAGCATCACTCCTCCCGGGAGCCTAGCCCCGGCCAGCCCACCACCTTCACCGTGCCCTTCCGGGAGGTGAGCACCAGCACCCCAGGCGCCTTCCGGAGGAGGAGGAGGAGGAGGAGGAGGCGGCCGGCCCCCTGCTTCTCCCACTCAGGGGCCGTCGGTATCCCAGGATGTCAGGGTTGTAGCACACGAATCCTTGCCTTGGCAGCAAGCATGGCAGCGGCCTGATGGGCAGCCGGCCACACGGGAGCATCTGCTGATGGCACTGGCGGGCATTGATTCGCTCCTGATCCAGGCATCCTACAGCCAGCAGCCAGCTGAGAGCAGGTATCAAGGCATGAGTGGGGGGACAGAAGAGGCTCGGTGCAGGCGGTTCCAGTCTCAGTGGGGGGATGCGGTGCCGCCAGACTGCCAGCTCTCCTCCCGTGGGCAGTGTGGACGTCTTGTGCCTTATTTTCCCATCTGTGAAATGGAGCTTATAACAGTGCCTCCCTCCCAGGGCTTGTCTCAGGTCGGGCTCCCTAGAAGCAAAGCCTGGAATGGGTATTGGGGTGCACGTGGTTCACAGGGGAAGCCTGGGGAGAGGAGGGAGAGAGGGACCCAGACGGGGGAAGTGGCATCCAGTCAGAAGGCAAGAAGTAGTTCCAGGTGGAGCCTCCACTTCATCCCCATGGAGCCCTTCAGTGCCATCCTGCTTTGAGACAAAGGAGTTTTGGGGCCTGGGTCAGCCTGTCAAAGGTGGTGGGACCTTTCCGGGCGAGGAAGGTGCGGTCTCTGGAGGCAGTTGCAGGTGCAAGCCATTCGCCACAGTCCTCGCAGCAGCTGGGGGTGGACGCCTCGTGAGAGGACTGGATGGGGCCCAGTGGCCTCCTGACAGCTATCGGGAGGGTGAATGAGATCACCGCCTGTGGGATCCCAGAGATGCCTGGCCCAGAGTGCAGGCTCATTCATAGGGTTTATCACTCCCAGGATCTCGGGCATCAGCATGGACGTGGCTGTGCCTGAGGACACTGGCCAGGACACCGCGCTGGAGGTGGAGCAGTGCACCTGCCCCACCGGGTACCGGGGCCCATCCTGCCAGGTGAGCCCTGGCTCCCACACCCCTGTCCAGCCAGCTCCTTTCATGGTGCTCCCTTTAGCTCTTTCCACCTCCCCAAGCCCACCCCCGCCTCCCCACCCAGGGGGCCCTACCCAGAATGGGTCCTGCAGAGGATGCTCCTCCCATGGCCATCTTCCCGCCCCCAGGACTGTGACACCGGCTACACACGCACGCCCAGCGGGCTCTACCTGGGCACCTGTGAACGCTGCAGCTGCCATGGCCACACGGAGGTCTGTGAGCCCGAAACAGGCGACTGCCAGGTGGGTTTCGCCCTTCTTCTTCCTACCCCAGGAGGGGGAAGTGGCCAGGCAGGAAGCAGGATCTGGGGCCTGGGCCTGTGGCCTCCAGGGGCTCATCCCTAACCATGCTCTGCCCCTTCAGGGATGCCAGCACCACACAGAGGGTCCTCGGTGTGAGCAGTGCCAGCCGGGATACTACGGGGACGCCCAACAAGGGACACCACACGACTGCCAGCCATGCCCATGCCATGGACCCCCCTCTGCTAGCCAGTGCGTCCAACCCCTGCCTGTACCTGCCCTTTCCTGAAATGTCCACTGCCCCCTCCCAGACTCCCTGCCTCCCAGGACCTCCCGAAAGGCAGTGGTTCAATACTGGCCTTCCCGCTTCCTCAGTGTGTCATTTTATGGTATGACACACGTTCCTGATCTGGGCATCAACCTCGTCGTCTGTGAAATGGGGATAATGATGTGCTCCAGCTGTTTCCTTGTGTCAGAATTGAGTGAGATGATGCACATGGAGCTCTTAGTAAAGTGCCTGGCACTCAGAATATGTTAGTGCCCACGCCCCTCCTTCCCCTCCCTGCTCCCCTGGTCCTGAAGAGAGAGCTGCTGACCGTTTAACTGGGCATTTGCCCCTTCACTCTCAGGGCCACCCACACTTGCTTTCTGGACACAGACGGCCACCCTACCTGTGATGCTTGCTCCCCCGGCCACAGCGGGCGTCACTGTGAGAGGTGAGGCGGGTTGACGAGCAGGATGGGTGGCATGCAGGAGCGGCTGGCCTTGGAGCCAGGCTGGGCCCAGTCCTCCTGACCTGGAGGGAACAGAGGCTCCCACTCATCAGACACAAGCCCCCAGAGCGTGGTCAGCTCCTTTCCCAGGGGGCCTCAGCCCTGAGCCTCAGGTCCTCAGAGACCTGCAGTTCACCTCCAACCCCAACATCCCTGACCCACGCTGGCCAGAGACTTCCCAGAAAAAAACCCTCATTCCTGTGGAGGGCATAGGTTTGGGGCCTGCGCATGCTAACTGCACTGGCTCCGTGGCCTAGGGCACGCGCCTGCTCTTCTCCCAGCTGTTTCCCCGGCTGGAACATGGGTGAGTTAGGCTGATTGGCTTCTTCCATCGCTGAGGTCATTGGTCCCTGACGCACTGCAGGCTCAGCAGAATTCTCTCGCTCTGCCCTCCCTTCATCTAGTGCTTTCTCTCTCCGTAGGTGTGCCCCAGGTTTCTATGGCAATCCCAGCCAGGGCCAGCCGTGCCGAAGTGAGTAGGGTTGGGGAAGCCTTCCGGGTTGGGCTACCCAGTCTGCCCCAGGGGTGGAGTTAGGACAGAGCCTTGGTTCTCCTTCCCCGGGGGCGGGTGACTTTCCCTTTCTGAGCCTCGGCTTCTTTGCCTGTGAAATGGGGAGAGTATATGGCACCCCCCTGCCAGAGGGCTGCTGTGAATGGGTGGAAGGCCTACGGGGTGGGCGATCAGAACCAAACGCTCCCTCTGTGGGCGGTGAATTAGATGATGGGGGTGGTGGAAAGGGGAGTGCTTGGAGCGGGTTTGTGATTCCAGCTGTGGCTTCCCTCCACTGCAGGAGACGGCCAAACGCCAGAGCCCATTGGCTGTGCCTGTGACCCCCAGGGCAGCATCAGCAGCCAGTGTGACGCCGCTGGCCAGTGCCAGTGCAAGGTTAGTCTAAAGCCCCGCCCTTCATGAGGCCCTGACCTGCAGCCACAGCGGTGACCGGGCCTCCTCACCGCACCCTCGGGCTGTTCCTGGGCCCTGGCCACCTGCCCTCAGCGGGCTGCTCTCTGCCCCACGGCTCCAGGACTGGTGGGAAGGCAGGCGGCAGCTGATGGGATCTGGGGCCTGGGCATGGGGGCAAAAGGGGCTCCCAGAATTGCTGGAAATGGCCGGGAAGACTGAGCTCACAGGTGGCTGGAGGTGCAAGAGACCCAGTCTCGTTCCCTGCACCCACCTCTTCACCCTTCTCCCCAGGCCCGAGTGCAAGGCCCCACCTGCAACCATTGTCAGCCCCACTACTTCCACCTGAGTGCCAGCAACCCCGACGGCTGCCTGCCCTGCTTCTGCATGGGCATCAGCCAGCAGTGCGCCAGCTCATCCTACACCCGTCACCTGGTAAGAGCCTGTGCCCACCCCTGCCTTGGGGCCTGCTACCTGCCTCTCCCTGACTCGTCGTCACTGGGGCAAATCAGAACCCTGGCCCAGAGGCATCCCCACTGTCTATGAGGACACTTATACCCATGCCTCCATTGTTGCCATGTCAGTACAGCTCCCAGCAACACTCGCCCTGCCCTGATACTCCCGAAAACCTCATAATTGCTTTTGTCAGCACTGGGCCCAAGCCCCTCCTTTCCCCAATTGTCCCTCCTATCCCCCCATTGTTTCTGTCTCAGTCCTGATCTCAGCCATCCCCGTTACTTTCCCTCATGTCCTTCCATACCCCTCCACCAAGGTGCCAGCCCCAGTGCCCAGGCTGACACCCACCCTTCTGCTTCTAGATCTCCACCCACTTCGCCCCTGGGGACTCCCAAGGCTTTGCCCTGGTGAATCCGCAGCGGAACAGCCGCCTGACAGGAGGCTTCACCGTGGAACCCGTGCCCGAGGGTGCCCAACTCTCTTTTGGCAACTTCGACCAACTTGGTCACGAATCCTTCTACTGGCAGCTGCCAGAGGCATACCAGGGAGACAAGGTATGGCATGCAGCTGCTGGCAGGCCCTCCTGGCGTCATCTTTGGGCCAGGCCTCTGCTGAGCTTGGGGCCAGTGGGGACTCAGAGCTATTTGACCTCGGAGCCGTCTGGGCCAGCAGGCAGGTGTCAGCCACATTGTGGTTTAGTGCACGGGCCTTAGGGTCGGATAAGCCTCAGTCTAGACCTTACCACTTACCAGCTGGCTGCCTTTTTTTTTTATAATATATTTTATTGATTTTTTTTACAGAGAGGAAGGGAGAGAGATAGAGAGCTAGAAATGTCGATCAGAGAGAAACATCAACCAGCTGCCTCTTGCACACCCCTACTGGGGATGTGCCCGCAACCAATGTACATGCCCTTGACCAGAATAGAACCTGGAACCTTTCAGTCCACAGACTGATGCTCTACCACTGAGCCAAACCGGTTTCGGCACAGCTGGCTGCCTTTTGATAACCCTCAGCTCAGGGTGGCTGGGAGGATTGGAGATCGGGCCCAGCATGTAATAAGTGCTCATCTATTAGTGATTATTAGCTCTCAGTGCAATTAGGTCCTGGACGAGACACAAGGACAAATAAGACAGTTTCAGTTTCGTTCATTTGCTCACTGAAAATTCACCTGAGGTAATGGCTCTGTGCTTGGTGTTGGGCATAATAATAATTCTTATTGTAGGTCATATTTATTGAGCTCTTACTCTGTGCTCAGCACTGTTCCAGGCACTTATCTATATATCACAGATCACAGCTGTGTGAGCGATGCACTACGACTGCTCTATTTCATTGGGAGGAAACTCCGATGAGAGATTAGGCAGCTTGCCTGACCTCCCATAGCCAGAAGGTGGCCGTGCTGGGATGCACACCCAGGTCCAAGGCCCCCCTTCACTACACGGGTCAGAGACAGGCATGTCTTTGCTGCTCCAGAGTCATGGTCTAGTGGATGGTGATGGTGCTACTGTGGGGTCTAGGGTCTTCAGGGAGGACTCCAGGGCAGTTTGCCCAAATGCATTCCTTGGGTAGTCATGGTCACCTGGTGGCACCCAAGGAAGTGGGTCCTGGTCCAGGAGTCCCCTGCTGGCTGAGGCTGGCGTTCAAGCAGATACATCCCCTCACCCAGCGCCCCAGGAAGGTCAGGCACACTTAGGAGGCGGAGTCTCGAGCTGTCCTGTCCTTGTACCTTGGACAGACCCAAGTGTCCCAGCCTCCTCCCAGGGCTGGCTGCCTTCTAGTCTCCTCTCCCTTCTCGGGCTCCTCCTCTCTCGGCCTCGCCTGCAATTTCTAGACCTCTCTCTCTCTCACTCCTCTCCTGCTGTTTCCCTGCGCCCACAGAGGGAGGCGTACTTTGTGCGGTTGCGCCGGGCTCACCAGGTAGGCCAGTGACCGGATGGTGTGAAGTTGATGTGACGTGGGCATGGTGTGTGTTTGGATGCCCGCAGCCCTGCATGGGGAGATGCCCAGTGCCCAAGGCATTGTGGGTGTGCATGAACCCAGGTAGTGCCTGTTGGCTTCCCGGTCGTGTCACCGTTGTGCCCGAGCCCCTGCGGTGCTGAGTTAGAGTCAGGAGGTGGGTGTGGCTTACCTGCTGTGCGGTCCAGTTCTGGTGCCAACCACCTGGTAGCCAGAGTGGTGGCCTAGTGAACTAACTCAGTGCTAAGCACCATGTGACTATACCCGGCCCCCAGGTTATCCCAGCACTGCCTTCCAAGCAGCCTGCATTAACCCTCTGTGTGCAGGCCCCCCTCTAGCAGCCTGGAGTTAACCCGTGTGTGCCAGCCTGGAGAGGGGCGCATGCGTCTTCCTCCCCTGGCAGTGTGAGCCTGTCTGGCCATGATACCCCCCGGGAGAGGACACTCCCCAGGCCTCCAGCTCTCGGTCCTGAGGTCTGAGCCGGCCGGGGCCCTCTCCCCATCAGAACCGCACGTCCCTCTCCGAGGAGCAGTTGCGGGTAGCTGTGACTACTGGGAGGATCCCAGGACCCCCAGAGGGCAGGGGCCGGGCACAGCAGCTCTCGCAGGTAACCAGGGCCCGGCCTGAACAGGCTGAGTCAGGGGCCCCAGAGAGTCTAGTCTAAGCAGGAGCCTTGAGCCGAGGCCCTGGCCTTCCTGGGCCATTTCCCCAGGCCAGACCAGGCTCCAGCCTGATGCCCAGTCCACTCCATTGTTGTCCTTGAGAAACTTTCCAGAGCCATGAGTGGCGTGGCCTGGCACCGTGGTTAAGCATGGGGAGTGAGGCCCAAGGAGCTCCTTCTCACAGATGCCTCTAGGTCTGCCCCTCTCTTGCCAGGTACCCTCTCACTGTGCTTCTCTCCATAGCCAGAGCCTGTAGTCACCTGAGCCCGTCCCGGGCTCGCCCCATGAGGCTCATGAGGAGCAAGGGGGTGGCGGGTACAAGGGCCAGAGCGTCAGGCATCAGCAGTTATAAACAGATAGAACAGAAGCAGACGGCTGGCTGGGCCTGGCGCGGCCTGTGGGCGGGCAAAGCCTCACAACATCCTTTCTATCCCCCTCTGCTCCTTCCTCTGCCCTCCCTCTCCTGGTCCCTCAGGTGGACGAGGCCCAGAGGAGAATGGACACTGAGATCTGGCAGCTCCTTTCCAGCTTTGCTGCCCAACCTCACCCCCCTGCCCCGGGGCTCCTGCCCCATCCCCAGCCTGCAGCTGCTCTGCGAGCAGTTTCCTCCTCCTCCTCCTCCTCCTCCTCCTCCTCCTCCTCCTCCTCCTCCTCCTCCTCCTCCTCCTCCGCTTCCGCCTTCACTCCTCTGTCTTCCATAGGCTCACAGGTATGTGCCAAGGCAGCCACCAAAGACTCACACACACCATGTTATCTAGACGTTGGTTCTGAACCAACTTTACAATTTCTGGTGTTTCCACACACTGCCTGGATTAGTATTTAGTTCAGATTTCCCTTTAAATCTATCATGTAATATCTCAGTGATGCTAGCTATGCATTTTTAAGTACGCTTTAAGCCTGCCATTGCATTTAAAAACATTTTCTGGTGTGCTGCGTCTGTCACCTTGGGGTCCACAGGAGGCCCAGACCCAAACCATGCCCAGTGAGAGCAGTTGGGGTGTTTGGTCCAGACAGGGGAAGCAAATTGTCCAAACGCAGGGTTGGGACCTCGGTGGTGGGGTGTGGGGTTCTGTCCCTCAGTCCTCATGCCCCGCCCCTGCTCCCTCAGCTCTCACTGCCTGTCCTTCTGTCCTAGTTCTCTCTCTCCTACGAAGGCTTCTCTCTGCTTCCTGGAAGCCTCTATTATTGGCAGCTGCCCCAAGCCTTCCTGGGGAACAAGGTAACAGGGAGCTGGGAGGGTTCAGGGGTGTCAACGAATCCTGAAATTCCAGGGGGCCCTTTGTCAAAGCCCTTCATGATCTAATGGGTAGACCAAGGCCCAGAGCGGGGAAGGGACTTGCCTGAGGTTCCACGTTTAGGTCAGAGTAGCTGAGGTTGCACCCAGCTCAGCACTTGCTCTTCAGTGGCCACAGGCCCCTGGCAGAGGGGCTGTCTTGCCTTAAAGGGAGACTCCCCTCCTTTAGGCTCCCTTTACCCTGCGTCACTGAAATAGCTCCTGGCACTACGTTCCTTCATTCAAGAAGCATTGGTTAAGTCCTCACCGTGCGCCGTGGCTGTATTGCAGAAGAGCGAAGACCCTGGCCTCCCAGCGCTCACTGTTAGTCTGATTATCCTTCCTGTTCTCAGCACCAGCAGCATTACTAATAACATTAATGTTATATCGGCATCGTCTCCATCTTTTTTTTTTAAATATATTTTATTGATTTTGTACAGAGAGGAAGGGAGAGAGATAGAGAGCTAGAAACATCGATGAGAGAGAGTCATCAACCAGCTGCCTCTTGCACACTCCCTACTGGGAATGTGCCCGCAACCAAGGTACATGCCCTTGACCGGAATCAAACCCGGGTCCCTTCAGTCCCCAAGCCGACGCTCTATCCATTGAGCCAAACCGGTTTCGGCATCGTCTCCATCTTATTCCAAAAATGACTTAGAGTCTTCTAAAGCAGCGGTCGCCAGCCTTTCGGACCTCACGGACCACATAGTGGTCCACGGACCACCGGCTGGCGACCGCTGTTCTAGAGAAGACACGTAATTCGTAATAAAAGAACACACAGAGAGCAGCAGACAAGAAAGCCGGGCCACGGGCGGAGCTGGATGTGGTGGGGACGGCAGCCCTGGGGCTGGGTGTCGCAGGCACCGTGCTGAGTGCCCTGTTTTACGTGGCCCGTGGCACTCGGTCCTCATGCTGTTCTCCCAGCGGGGCGTTATTTTCACTCCCACTTCCATAGGAGGAACGTAAGACTCAGAGCTTAAGGGACTTGTCCAAGGCCGTCCAGTCAGTAGAACTGGATTTGAACCCTGGTCTCAGACGGCAGAGTCTGCTCCCTTAGCCACCCTGCTGCACAGGCCTGCAGCTTGGTCCTGAACATGGCCATGAACTTGCTGGCATCCAGAGCAAACAGAAAACTAGTCGTGTCGTGGTTAGCTGGTGATGGCCCTGACCTTCTCACCTCACCCTGCGCTTGTGGAGAACATCCTCAGCGACCGGCATGTTGTCCGGAGACATTTAATACATGCTCACGACTGAACGAACAAACCAGTGAACAAATGGGCTAGGCGTGATGCACTGTGGTGTTGGTTTGAGCATCCGCCTTGATGGCAGAGGACAGGAAGGGAAGTCCTGTGGGCGGAGCGGAGGCTCTGGCTGCCCACGTGAAAGCCTTCGGTGACAGAACTGAGGGCCGTTTCATTGTGAGCCACAGAGAACCTCAGTCCCACTGGCTTGTCGGCAACAAAGAAAGGAATCTATTGGCTCAGGTAGCTCCAGAGTCCAAGGGCGTCTGGTACCAGGCATGGCTGGGCCCAGGGGGTCACTGGGACTTCGTCTCAGTTGGTGTCCTCCTCTGGCCTCCAGGATGGCTGGTAAAGGAAGTTTCTCTGTTCCAGTAGAAAAAGCAGATGACCTGAAACCGTTTTGGCTCAGTGGATAGAGTGTCAGCCTGCGGACTGGAGGGTCCCAGGTTCGATTCCGGTCAAGGGCATGTACCTTGGTTGCAAGCACATTTCCAGTGGGGGTGTGCAAAAGGCAGCTGGTTGGTGTTTCTAACTCTCTATCTCTCTCTCTTCCTCTCTGTAAAATATCAATAAAATATATATTTTTAAAAAAATAGAAAGAGCAGATGAGCAAGGTCACGTGTCCACATCTGATGGAGTGGAGTGGGAGTAACGGAATGTGGGATTGGCCAGGCCTGGCTCATGTCTCTGCTCAGACTACATGGCCTGCATGTAGGACATGGTTTCTTTTCAAGGAAACCAAGGCTGCAGTTTGCCAAAAGCGGGGAACGGATTCTGAGCAAACAAAGCTCACCTGCCCAGGGGACAAGACCTCGGAGGACCACCCTCAGCCCCGTTCCCCTGGCTGATAACTTGAACCTTTGGTGGCCTCCCCGGGTGGTCACGGTCGTTACTCCTGCCTGCTCTGTGGGTAGTTCCTTCTCATGGACAGGGCCTTGGAGTGTGTTTGCTGTGATTGTCAGGCACTTAGAAATGGGAAGCCCCCAAAGCAGAAAAGAGGCTGCTCAGGGTCATTGGCACCAACTCAGGCTGTATGGGAACTGAGTGATGGCCTGTCTCCTAGGCAACCTCAGGCTAGGCCTATTGCCCCGCCTCTGTATGGGTGGTGGGTGAGACAGCACGGGTACAAAAGCGCCTTGCAAGATTCTGCCCCCTCACCAGAGGAGGGCGATCAGGCTATGACTGCCGGTCTTCCCTCTTGCAGGTGGCAGCTTATGGCGGGAAGCTGCGGTACACCCTCTCCTACACAGCCGGGGCGCAGGGCAGCTCACTCTCGGACCCTGACATCCAGATCATGGTGAGCACCCGATTCCATGCCGGGCGGGCTGAGGGCAGGTCAGGTGTCACCCTCATTGTTTCTTCTGTCCTTTCAGTCCAGCACTCAGCTGGCCTGGCACGGGCTAGGGGGGTGGGGGTAACCCCATGTTCCCACCTCAACATCTGGTTGCACACCACCCAGGCAGAGGCCCAGCTGCCGGGAGAAGGGGGCAGTGGGCATGTGCCAGATTCCTTTGGGCACACGAGCTGGAAGGTTGGAGCATGGGAGGCGGGTGGTACAGAGAGTGCGGATCTGGTGGAGGACTCCAGTGTTCCCAAGAGCCCCTCATTCCCCTCCAAATCCCATTGGTGTCTCCCAGGGCAACAACATCATGCTGGTGGCCTTCCAGCCAGCACTGCAGGGCTCCGAGAGGAAAAGCTATGAGATTGTTTTCCAAGAGGTAAGGAACACCCGCCACCCTGTGTCCGACTCTCCCCCACCCCACCCTTGCTTTGGAGCCTGGCTTTAACGCCAGCCACCCTGCTGCTCGCTCCCCCATCCTCACCTCAGGGTCCTCCTCCAGTGCCTAGAAGGCAGGAGTCGGGGGACGGGTTGCTGCAGAAGCAGCACACAGAGCCTGACCCCCCTCCCGCACACGTGCTATCGTCCCCCCACCCAGGAATTCTGGCGCCGGCCTGACGGGCAGCCAGCTACACGCGAGCACCTCCTGATGGCGCTGGCTGACTTGGACGAGCTCCTGATCCGGGCCACGTTCTCCTCGGTGCCCCTGGCGGCCAGTATCAGCGGGGTCAGCCTGGAGGTCGCCCAGCCCGGACCCTCGAGGGGACCCCCGGCCCTGGAGGTGGAGGAATGCCGCTGCCCCCCAGGCTACGTGGGCTTGTCCTGCCAGGTGAGCGTGGCCAGCCCAGGCACCTCTGCTCTGGCGCTGCTGGATCTGCCACTAGCTGGTCAACTGGCATTTGACGAGTCATGACTTCAATGTGCTCTGCAATATCTCGTTTATTCTCCCCAGCAGCCCTGGAAATGTGTCACTATCCCCTTTTAACAGGTTTTTTTTTTTTTTTTTTTTAACAATAGAGGCACTGAAGGGTGAATAGCTTACTGAGGGCACACAGCTGCCACCTCTGGAGGTTCAGACCCAGCGTGTGCCCTCAGGGTGCCCAGCAGAGACAGGCAGAGCTCTAGCCCAAAGCAGAGCGTGGAGTGTCTCAGAGAAAGGAGGGACCGCGGGGAGGGGATAGGGTGCTAGGCAGGAAGGCAGAAGCTCAGAGGACCGTGTGGGGAAGAGTCGCCCCTGGAAAGCCGGGGTGGGGTGTGGGAACTTCCTTAGGCCTGGAACAAGGATACCAGTGGGAGCTGGGCCCCGGGAAAATCCCTCTGCCAATGGTGAGTGAGGCGGATGGGGCAGGGGGGGGAAGATGGGGAGTCCCATTGGGAGGAAGGGCAGTGGCATCCGTCCACCATGGAAGCAGCCTCCCTCCCAGCCACTCGGGAACCCCACCGTGGGACGCCCACATTTCTGCAGTTTTCCATCGGTGCCCCTTCACTGCGGCCACAAGAATTTTCAAATCCAAGTACACGAACTTTAGATCCCTTGAAATGATAAAATTTAACACGTTTTGAAGGAGGACCCCTGGGGAAAGCAGAATCCTTGGTGCACATTTTCTGCATTGAAGCCAAGCAGATTTATAAACGTGCCTTTGAAATGGTGGAGGGCCTGGAGAGATTTCAGAGAAGGGCTGGGGAACAGCAGCTCATTGTTTTCAGAGCCCATGAGTACTCACCGAGAAAGAGGAAAAACATCCTCCGGGGTGTGTGCGCAGCCTCTGTCGCTTTGTGTCGTGAACGTACAAATGGTTGTGAAGCTCTTCAAGGGCTCATTCCAAACCCTCTCCTGAGCCCTCTTTTCCCATCGAGGTTTACATTCTGCCAATAAAGACCCTGCCAGAAGAATTTTCGGGAACAGAGTCCTGGGGATATGGGTTCTCCATTCAGGATGAACTATTATTGCAGTGAATTTAAGGGGCAGGCGATGCCAGGATGAGCTGGGACAACATCCAGCTTCGGAGTGTAAAGTGAAGACGGAGGCGTGGAAGAGGGCGGCTGGGAGAGGGCCAGGGGGTGGAGGGCTGGGCCTGGGATTTTCCCTCCCGGAGCCAGCGAGAGTCTAGCTGGTGGGAAGGGAAGGAGGGTGTGGGGTTCAGAGTCTCCTGGCTTTGGAAGGGACTGCACTGGAGATGGAGACCAACCTTCTCTCCCCCTTCCCAGGACTGCGCCCCGGGCTACACACGCACTGGGAGTGGGCTCTACCTCGGCCATTGTGAACTGTGCGAATGCAACGGCCACTCGGACCTGTGCCACCCAGAGACTGGGGCCTGCTCGGTAAGATGCAAGCAGGGCAAGGGCAGGGGTCGGCTTGGGTGGGCCTGGGTGGGGTACCAGGGCTCACTGTAGGGTAGGGAGGGGTGGACTTGGTAAGGCCAGCCTAGGTCCAGGGACAAAGATCATGGGGCATGGCCTGTGGGACAAAGCACCTATGCCAGCAGGTGGCAGTAGCCATGATGGGGTAGCCAGGACAATGGAATAGCATCCATCTTTGTTTACTAGAAGCCCGATACACAAAAATTTGTGCAAGGGGCTTGGCCCTCCCAGCCGTGGCGGCTGCCTCACAGCCCCAGCTTTGTCTGGAAGACCATCAATCGGTTATTCCGCTGTTCGGCTGTCCGGTCTAATTAGCATATTACACTTTTATTGTTATAGATTTTTTTGTTAATCCTTACCCAAGGATGTTTTCTATTGATTCTTAGAGAGAGTGGAAGGGAAGGGGAGAGACAGAGCGAAACATTCATGTGAGAGAGACACATCAATTGGTTGCCTTCCAACGTGCCCTAACCAAAGCCAGGGATTGAGCCCGCAACTGAGGTATTCTCTTGACGGGCATTGAACCTGACCCCCTTCAGTCTGTGGGCTGATGCTCTCTCCACTGAGCCAAACTGGCTGGGGCTGGAATAGCATCTGTCTTTATAAAAGAAAACTTTGGCCGGGACCGGTTTGGCTCAGTGAATAGAGCGTCGGCCTGCGGACTGAGGGGTCCCGGGTTCGATTCTGGTGAAGGGCATGTACATTGGTTGCGGGCTCATCCCCAGTGGGGGGTGTGCAGGAGGCAGCTGGTCGGTGTTTCTCTCTCATCAACGTTTCTAACTCTCTGTCCCTCTCAATTCCTCTCTGTGTAAAATCAATAAAATATATTAAAAAAAAAAAGAAAGAAAACAAAACTTTGGTACCTGCAATTTTTTATCATCCAACTGGCACATGTTCTCTGTAGACAAGTCAGACTACAGAACTAACCCAAAAAGAAAGTAAAAACCTTCTGTAGTCCTACCACCTGGAGTGATTACTGTCAACATTAGTGTGGAGGGCTTTTGCTCTTTTTCTGGGCCGATGTCTGTACGTATTAATGTACCTTTTGTTTTCCAAATGAACATAGGATCGTTGTGTTTAGTGAGCTTTTTTCACTTACAGAGTCATGAGCATCTTTCCATATCATTGTTTACACCTGAACTTTTCAGAGTGGGATGTCTTAGCCTCCCTGCAGTATGTGGTCAGGGTTAGGTGGTTGACAGAGCAAGGAGCATGGCACATTAATCAAACAAGCATGAATCTCTTTGGAGAAGACTATTACCCCACCTGTATTTATAATAAAGCATCTATTTTTAAAACTCCCCACATACCCAGGTGTACCCCTTTACTTTCCCTGTGATATTACAGCTGTGTAGGGAGAAAATGTAAGAAATGTCATCAGTATCGTCCTATGTTAGATAGGTGGGTGGGTGTTGTTTTTAGTTTCTCTCTTCATGGATTTTTAGGTTTATTTCCAGCATTTTGCTTCTATAAACACCACAGAGCTAAACAGTCTTTAAGATAAATGCACAGCTGGGACCGGTTTGGCTCAGTGGATAGAGCATCGGCCTGCGGACTGAAAGGTCCTGGGTTCGATTCCGGTCAAGGGCATGTACCTTGGTTGTGGGCACATCCCCGGTAGGGGGTGTGCAAGAGGCAGCTGATCGATGATTCTCTCTCATCGATGTTTCTAACTCTATCTCTCTCTCTTCCTCTCTGTAAAAAATCAATAAAATATATATTTTAAAAAAAGATAAATGCACAAACATGGTATTTCCAGATCAAAGGATTCCAAAGTTGTAAGGGTTTTTGGTAAATTCTGCCAAAGGGTGAGTGGCCGGTGTGTTTGTACCTCACAGCAATGCCAGCACAATGCCATTGGGGAGTTCTGCGAGCTGTGTGCCCCTGGCTACTATGGAGACGCCACGGCTGGAACGCCTGAGGACTGCCAGCCCTGCGCCTGCCCGCTGACCAACCCGGAGAACATGTGGGTGCCCTTGATCAAGGCCCAAGGAAGAAGTCCCGCTGGGGGTAGAGGGCACTGCACTGGCCGTCAGGGCAGGGTGAAGGGGGCAGAGTGGGATTGGGGCATCCCATGGCCTGACCTGTGCCTCCTCTATCCCAGGTTCTCCCGTACCTGTGAGAGCCAGGGAGCCGGCGGGTACCGCTGCACAGCCTGCGAGCCTGGCTACACCGGCCAGTACTGTGAGCAGTAAGTTTGCCAATAGGAAGGGGTTTGTGGTCAATTCCTAGGTGAAAGCCCCAGATAGGGTGCTGCTAAGAACGTTCTCCACCAGGATCATGTCCCTCCCCTTGATTCCCTGCTGCCCTTGGGTAGCCGTCACTCTTTAGTCTCATCCACTTCCAACTCCTAACTCTGCTCTACTGGGGCTGAACTTCGTGACTAATTGATGTTCAGGCCTTTGCATGAGCTATTTACTTTACATGGAACATTCTTCGCCCTCAAACTTCCCCTTTCTGGCAAACTCCTGTTTAGCCTTCAAGGCTCAACCTCATTCATTCATTCAGCACGTTTCTATTGAGCACCTGCTGTGTGACATGTAGTGTGTGAAGGTGCTGGAGATACAGTGGTGAACAACACAGATTCCATCCTAGTCCTGTGTAGTCTACCACCTGTGACGGGGGAGAAAGCAGCAAAAAAGTGATCATACAAATATATAATTATAAGCATTGGTAAGTAGCCTAAGGAGAATATAACAGGTCCCGGGGAATATGACAGCTCAGAAGCCCCATTCCCAGGGAAGTTTCCTCATTCTCAGGAGCCGTTCTGTGCACTCACAGCCCCCAATACATGTTCCTCACTCTCATTTTATGTGGTTTTCCTTCCTTCCTAAGTCATTTATTTCTTTATCTTATTTAAAGTATTACTAAAAATAGTACATACATCTCCTTTTTTCCCCCCTTTGGTCTCCCCCTGTCCTCCCTTCCCTCCCTCCCCCTCCCACCCCCCCGCAGTGTCTTGCATCCATTGGTTATGCCCATGGTCAGCAAACTGCGGCTCTCGAGCCACATGCGGCTCTTTGGCCCCTTGAGTGTGGCTCTTCCACAAAATACCACGGCCTAGGCAAGTCTATTTTGAAGAAGTGGTGTTAGAAGAAGTTTAACTTTAAAAAAATTTGGCTCTCCAAAGAAATTTCAATCGTTGTCCTGTTGATATTTGGCTCTGTTGATTGATGAGTTTGCCGACTACTGGGTTATGCTTATCTGCATGCATACAGGTCCTTTGGTTGGTTTCTTACCTCCACCACCCCCAACCCTCCCTTGCCTTCCGCTGTAATTTGACAGTCTGTTCGATGCTTCCCTGCCTCTGTATCTATTTTTGTTTATCAGTTTATAATGTTCTTTATATTCCACAAATGAGTGAGATTGTGTGGTATTTAATCTTTCACTGACTGGCTTATTTCACTTACCTTAATGCTCTCCAGTTCCATCTATGCTGTTGCAAATGGTAAGAATTCCTTCTTTTTTATAGCAGCCTAGATTTCCATTGTATAGATGTACCACTGTTTTCTAATCTACCCATCTGCTGATGGGCATTTAGGCTGTTTCCAAATCTTAGCTATGGTGAATTGTGCTGCTGTGAACCTAGGGGTGCATATATCCTTTCTGACTGGTGTTTCTGGTTTCTTGCGATATATTCCTAGAAGTGGGATTATTGGATCGAATGGCAGTTCCAATTTTAATTTTTTGAGGAAACGCTATGCTGTTTTCCACAGTGACTGCACCATTATGTAGTTTTCATGTTGGTTTCCTAGTAAGTTAGTTCTGTAAGAGCAGGAACTTGGTGTTCACCGTTGTATTTCCACAACCTAGCATAATAGTTGCTTAATAAACATGAATTGAATGAATGTCTTCCTGGAGAATAAAGCTTTACCGCCCGCACACCGAACTTGCTGATATTCCCTTGCCCTCCCCTTTCTCAGCTCGCCAAAGCACTGCGTGGAGGCCTCTTTGGTGTCTGAAATCCTTCCAGAGTACTGAGCCTCCCAGCCCACGCTGGGCAGCCAGCTCCCCAGTCCACCATGAGGCACCGGGTGCCCTGGGAGCTGACAGAACTGGTCGTTGTTCCTCCCTTACAGGTGCGCCCCAGGTTACGTGGGGAACCCCAATGTGCGAGGGGGCCGATGCCTGCCGCAGGGTAAGTGGGACCATAGCTCCTGGTCAGGGTGATGGTCGAGTCGGGGAGCCTAGGGAGTCTGAGAGGTGCTAGGTCTGGGGAACAGGACCAGGAGGAGGACAGGCCAGTCTCTGGGAAAGCAGAGATACTGAGACAGTGCCATGTGCTCGGCCTCCTACCTGAATGGCATCTCCCGTCCTCCCCTCCCCCTTCCAGCAGACCAAGCCCAGCTGGTGGTCCAGGTGCAACCGCCTCGGAGCATAGTACCCCAAGGTGGCCCCCACTCGCTGAGGTGCCAAGTCAGCGGGAGCCCACCCCACTACTTCTACTGGTCTCGCGAGGATGGGCGGCCCCTGCCCAGTAGCACGCAGCAGCGACATCAAGGTACCCATGGCCCCGACTCCGTGAGCCACCCAGTGGCCAGGGAGCCACAGGGCCGGGTGACGGGAGGAGGGTGCGTCTGCACCGACGAGCTCCCGTTGTTCCCCACCAGGCTCCGAGCTCCACTTCCCCAGCGTCCAGCCCTCCGATTCCGGGGTCTACATTTGCACCTGTCGTAACCACCATCACGCCAATACCAGCCGCGGAGAACTGCTGGTCACCGGTGAGTTTCTCCTCCTCGTCCCCAGACGGCCTGCCCTGGGCTGGGCTGAGGCTGCAGACCCAGGCAGCTGGCACATTCATCCGCCCAAGGGCATGGCGGCTGCCCGCACAGGGCCACTGGCCACAGAGATGGAGAGAGGTGATGGAGTTAAGAACTGGCTTTAGCCGAAACCGGTTTGGCTCAGTGGATAGAGCGTTGGTCTGCGGACTGAAAGGTCCCAGGTTCGATTCCGGTCAAGGGCATGTACATTGGTTGTGGGCACATCCCTGCTGGGGGTTGTTCAGGAGGCAGCTGGTCGATGTATCTCTCTCATCGATGTTTCTAACTCTCTATCCCTCTCCCTTCCTCTCTGTGAAGAATCAATAAAATATATTTTTAAAATAATAATAATAATAATAAAAGAAAGGGGAAAAAAAGAACTGGCTTTAGAGCAGAGATGGCCAGACGTGATTGTGGTCACTGAGGGAGAGAGAAACATCTAGGACGATGCCTAGCCATCTGGTTTCCAGCAGCTGGGCAAACGGGGTGCCATTCACTGAGATGAGAGAGGCTCGATAGGAGGGGTCTTCATCTGGACTCCCCCAAAAGCAGAGTCTGAGACAATGATTTGCACGATAGTAGTTTATTTAGTAGGTGAAGAAAGACAGGGAAGAGAAGGCAGCCAGCAACAGGTATGTTATTGAGCAAGTTACTACTGTGAGCAGGTATTTAATGCTGCCAGGGGAACTCTGGGAAGCTCAAGGGTAAAGCATGCACCTTGGAGTCACCCCATCCCAGGATCGAGGTGCTGGGCTGTGTACATACCAGCTCCTATCAGCCATCACCTGGGGCCTATTGTAGGAGCATTCGTTCCCCTGCAACTGCCCACCTCCTGGGCAGGTGCAGTGGTCTCTGGGGATCTGAGAAAGCCTTTGTGTGAATGCAGTGGCTGGCAGCAGTCAGACCTGGTGGCACTGAAGGAACAGGGTGAGGGGACTGGGTGGGGCACTGGCAGTACCTGCTACCAACAAGCCAGAGGGAATGCCAAGTGTGAGATGTTTGGGGAAACATGTAAGCAGGTACATCTGGCAGGCATGGGATATGTGAGTCTGCAACTCAGGAAGGAGGCCCCAGCCAGAGAAATGAATTGGAGGGTGTTGGCATAGGGGTGGTATTTATATTTTTAATTTTTTTTAAATCTTCACCCGAGGATATTTTTCCATTGATTCTTTGACAGAGTGGAAGGGAGAGAGAGAAAAACATTGATGTGGGAGAGAAACATCAATTGGTTGCTTCCTGCACGCACCTCGATCAGGGCTGGGGACCAAGCCTGCAACCGAGGTACATGCCCTTGACCAGAATCAAACCTGGACCCTTCAGTCTTCAGACCAGTGCTCTATCCACTGAACCATACTGGCTAGAGCTAGGGGTGGTGTTTAAAGCTATGGGACAAGGTGAAATTACCAGGGAGAGTATGGCTTGAGGATAGAGCCACAAGGAGCTCCAACTTCAGCATGGCAAGTTGAAGTGTCTCTTTTACAGCAGGAGACTTGAGCAGGTGAGGCCAGTGAGCTAGGGGGACAGGGAGGGGAGGGGAGGTGCCTGTTGGAAGCCCAGAGGGGAGAAGGCTTCCAGGAGGGGGCGCTCGGCCTCACCATATGCCCTGAGGAAGTGAGGTGTGGCCGAGAAATAACCCCTGATGAGCATGCTTTGACCAGAGCTGTTTTCAGTGGAGTGAAGGGGTAGAACTAGATTAGAGTGAGGCAGAGAATGGATGGGAAGGCAACACGTATAGACAATTCCCTCAAGAGTCTTGGCTCTGAAGGGAGACCGAGCAATGGGGTGGCAGCTGGGAAGAGTATGGAGTCAAGGGGGCCTTCTCAGAGACGGCTATGCTAGAACACATTGGTCTATGGAGAGGAATGACCCAGTGGGGAGGGAGAGGAGAGAGTGATGTGGCAAGAGCGGGCACAGCAGAGGGAGGAAGTCCCTGGGCGGGCTCCGGCACTCAGAAAGTGGGGGTTGTGGAGGGAGAGCTGGTTCCTCAGAGGCTGGGAAGGAGGGAAGTGGGTAGATTTGGAAAGACGGGAAGATTCCTGCCTAGCAATTTGTTTTCTCAACCAGTGTGGATTGAAGCCATTAGCTACGAAAGCGGAAGTGGGGGTGGTTCTGGAGGGTGCAGAGGATGGGAGGAAGTGTGAAATGATTTGGGGAGGATGGGAACTTGAACCAGACCCAGAAGGCCAGTTGGAGCGAAGTGTGAAGCGTTCAGAGCTCATTTGTGGTCTGCGGTCGTGAACTGGAGCCAAGCGGGCTCATGGTGTGACATTCTCCCGTCACTGCCCGCTGGCTGCTTCGTGCCAGCAGGAAAAAGACGATAATGGGGTTCCGAAGGATGAGGGTGGGAAGTGCCAGGGGACGAAATCTAAGCTAGACTGGGAAGCAAGTGACACCCAGACAAGGTGGTGGAGAGAGAGAAACTGGCTCCAGGACAGGGGCCTGGCCAGCACACCGCTCACGGGGCCTCCCGTCCCCGCAGAGGCTCCCAGTAAGCCCATCACGGTGACGGTGGAGGAGCAGCGGAGTCAGAGCGTGCGTCCCGGAGCCGATGTCACCTTCATCTGCACGGCCAAGAGCAAGGTGGGCAAGGCATGGAGCCCTCACCGGGGAGAGGGTCTTCTGGGGTCTCCGGGCTCCACCTCTAACCCCCATCCCATCCCATCCCCTCGCCCCACCGGCAGTCTCCGGCTTACACCCTGGTGTGGACCCGCCTGCACAACGGGAAGCTGCCAGACCGAGCCATGGATTTCAACGGCATCCTGACCATTCGCAACGTCCAGCCAAGCGACGCGGGCACCTACGTCTGCACCGGCTCCAACATGTTTGCCATGGACCAGGGCACAGCCACACTGCATGTGCAAGGTATGCTGCTCATGTCCATGCCTGGCCCACCACTCCCGGCCTTCCCCAGTGCCCACCAGGACTCGTGTTCAGCAGACAATTCCTGAGCATCCATGGGATACCAGGTCCTGGCCTAGTCTCTGAAGAAACAGAGCAAAGGAGGTCAAACGGGAGCTCTGCTCTCTTGCACTACATGTTCTAGTAGGGCGGAGGTAAACATGGAACAGGTGAACATGTAGGGCAATCACACAGGGCGGTGCCTGCTGGGTTAGTAGTAAATGGTGACAGGAAAGAGAAAGGATGTGGGAGAAGGGCAAGCTATTCTACGTGGGTGGTCAGGGAGGATCTCTCTGGGGAGGTGACATCTGAGCTGAGGCCTGAAGGAAGGGAAAGTGTGCAGCCTCTTAAAGAGCTGGCGGAGAGTGTTCTTGGCAGAGGAAGCAGCACGTGCAAAGGTCCTGGGGCAGGAGCGTGTTGCTGTAGGTGGAGCAGCATGGCCAGTGTGGCTGGAGCTGTGGGAGGACGGGGGATGATCAACTTGAAGATGTGGGCAGACGTGAGTGTGTGTAGTACTTGGTGGATCACAGCAGGGAGTCCGGGTTTTATCCTAAGAGCGATAGAGAGCCACAGGCAGGCCTTCAATTCACAAGTAACAGACCCCATGACGTTTCCAAAGCTCCCTCTGCCTGCTCTGTGGACAAATGGCCACGAGGGGCTGGAGTGGAAGCAAAGAGGGCAGCCTGGAGGCTGTTGCCGTGGGTCAGGAGATTACCCCCCCCACCACCACCAACCACATGTTCTTTCTCCCGTCAGCCTCGGGCACCCCCTCGGCCCCCATGGTGTCTATCCACCCACCACAGCTCACAGTGCAGCCCGGGCAGATGGCCGAGTTCCGCTGCAGCGCCACAGGGCACCCCACGCCCACCCTTGAGTGGACAGGTGAGGCCGTGGCAGGAATGACCCTCAGGGCCTGGCTCTCCTGAGTGTGGGAGGCCAGGGGCAGCTCCCTAGGCTGCGGGGAGGGGGCAGCAGTGCCCGCCCACAACTGCTGACCCACTGCTCCACACCAGGGGGTCCTGGTGGCCAGCTGCCTCAGAAGGCGCAAGTCCACGGCGGTATCCTGCGCCTGCCAGCCGTGGAGCCCTCGGACCAAGCCCAGTACCTGTGCTATGCCCGCAGCAGCGCCGGGCAGCATGTGGCCAGGGCCGTGCTCCACGTGCATGGTGAGCGGGCAGGCTGAGGGTGGGCTGGGAGCACGTGGGCAGCCCAGAGAGGTGTTCTCACAGGGCCCTCTCTGTCTGCAGGGGGCAACGGGCCCAGGGTCCAGGTGAGTCCAGAGAGGACCCAAGTGCACGAAGGCCGCACGGTCAGGCTGTACTGCAGGGCTGCGGGTGTGCCCAGTGCCACCATCACCTGGCGGAAGGAAGGGGGCAGCCTCCCCACTCAGGTGAGGGGATCCATCCGGGCTCAAGGGAGTCCCCGCATTTGCCATCTGCCCCTCCCCCGTGTGCTTCCCCCCCCCAGCTCTGCCTCCTCTGGCTCTCGTCACTTCCAACAGGGTGGCCTGGCTCCGTGCCTCTTTGGTGCCCAGCTGGGCCCCAATATTGGCTCTGTGCTTGCCTCTACCTTTCCCCCCCTCTGCCTATCCTCGCCGGCTGGCCCTTGCCAGGCTGCCACGGCCACTCAGGCAGCTGACCCTTCTCCTGGGTGGCAGGCCCGGTCTGAGCACACGGACATCGCCACGCTGCTCATCCCCGCCATCACGGCCGCTGATGCCGGCTTCTACCTCTGCGTGGCCACCAGCCCCGCCGGCACCGCGCAGGCCCGGATCCAAGTGGTCGTCCTTCCAGGTGCAGGGCCCGCGGGGGCTGACGGTGTTGGGGAGCACCGGCCAGGGCTCCCCGGAGGCCTATTCACTCCTCTGCCCCCGCCTGCAGGTGCCAGCCCCCTGCCAGTCAGGATTGAGTCCTCCTCATCTTCTGTGACTGAAGGCCAGACACTAGACCTCAACTGCGTGGTGACAGGGCTACCCCACGCCCAGGTCATGTGGTACAAGCGAGGGGGCGGCCTGCCTCCCCACACCCAGGTATGAGCTCCCCGAGCCTGAGGCAGGGGTCCCGGGGTGATCCTGTGCCCAGGGAGGCCCCACATCACCCTGGCACCTTAACTTTCCTCCCTCTCCAGCTTCCGGCATGGGGTGGCTCAGTGGTGACCACAACCCCCTCCCCATCCTCACGTACCTCTGTCCCCACCCGGTCCAGGTGCACGGCTCCCGACTCCGGCTCCCCCAGGTTTCCTCAGCGGATTCTGGAGAATACGTGTGCCGAGTGGAGAACGGGTCAGATGCCAAGGAGGCCTCCATCACCATCTCTGTCCTCCACGGCACCCATTCGGGCCCCGGCCATCCCACAGGTGAGGAGCCAGGTGGGCCTGGGCGGAGGCGGAGCCCTGGGACCTCCCCACTGTTCCTGGGGAAGAGGGTCCACTCGGCAGGCTTTAGCCTTCCACTCCCTGCCTGGGGAGCTGAGAGGACTAAGGTGGGGATCAGGTTGGTCAGCTCACCGGGGGCCGTGATGAGGCTACTATTGTCAGAGCTCAGCAGTAAGCAGCGGAATCAGGGTTGAACGATGAGTAGGGAATCAGGCTGACGTGGGTTCAAATCCTAGCACGACGCCTGATCAGCTCTGAACTGGTCATTTTACCTTTTGGGCCTCAGCTTGCTCCTCTGTGGAATGAGGACCATGCCGCCACCATAGGACAGGGAAACGGCAAACACCGTAGAAAGGGGTTGTGGTATCGTCTGCATCTTTTGGCCTTGGCTGAGGGCAAATGGACCTTGAACTCTGAGTCCGAGGTTGGGAGGGAAAGAGGGGCCTGGCTGGCCACGCTGAGGAGCAGGTTGCAGCCCCAGAAAGGTCTCCCATCTGACCAGCCTCTCTGTGCCCCAGGTCCTGCTGGGTCCCCAGCTCGGGGCAGTACCCAGCCCATCCGCATCGAGTCCTCCTCCTCCCACGTGGCTGAAGGGCAGACCTTGGACCTGAACTGCTTGGTGCCCGGGCAGGCCCATGCCCAGGTCACATGGCACAGGCGCGGGGGCAGCCTCCCCGCCCGGCACCAGGTACAGCTGCCCCCGGGGCCAGCCTGCTGGAGGGCCTGGATGGGGCCTCTCTGGCTCCCTCCCAACCCTCCCTGTCTGCGTGCAGACCCACGGCTCGCTGCTGCGGCTGAACCAGGTGTCGCCAGCAGACTCGGGCGAGTATGTGTGCCGAGTAGTCCTTGGCTCTGGGCCCTTGGAGACCTCTGTCCTGGTCACTATCAAGGCTTCAGACTCCAGCGATGGCTCCCTTCCTGGTGAGTGACTGCCGATGGCAGGCAAGCTGGAGGAGGTCAAGTGCTTCCCGAGGTGCTGAGGTCTAGGGACTCCTGTTGTGACTCAGGGCAGGAGGCTCACGTTGGAGCTGGCCGCGGCCTGGCCCAGGCAGACTCCACTTCTGAGTTACCCACCATCTTCCCGTCACTCTTCGGCCACGTCTCTCCTCATGTTTCTGCTGCTGCCTTCTTGTCCTCTCTCCCAGCTTCCACCGCCTTCATCTCTCCCACTTTCTCACTCTGCAAGGCTCTGCCCGGGCCCCAGCCCTTCCCTCGGGTTGCTTAGCTGAGGACATCAGGCCCAGGCCACCATCCCCCCAAACACAGGCCTGGCTTCAGAAGACAAGGCCACGCTGGCTTCAGGGTGGGCAGCTCTTGCCCTCTCTTCTGGTAGCATCTACTACTACCCTCGCCCCTCTCCCCACAGCCCCAGGACCCGTCCCTTCTGTCAGGATCGAGTCCTCATCCTCCACCGTGGCTGAGGGGCAAACCTTGGACCTGAACTGTGTGGTGGCAGGGCAGGCCCATGCCCAGGTCACGTGGTACAAGCGTGATGGCAGCCTCCCCGCCCGGCACCAGGTACATAACAGCAGCAGGAAGGTAGGAGGGGTCAGCTGGGCTGAGCCATGGATGGTGGGTGGCAGGGATCCTGGCGTCTGAGCTGAGGGGCTGGCAATTCCCAGCTCAGAGGAACGGGGAGAGGGTGGCCAGGGGGGCATCTGCTGGCCTCTGGGAAGCCCTCTTCACCCCTCTGCCCATGCTGCCCAGGTCCGCGGCTCCCGCCTCTACATCTTCCAAGCGTCGCCAGCTGACGCAGGCGAGTACGTTTGCCGGGCCAACAACGGTGTGGAGGCCTCCATCACAGTTACAGTCACCGGCACCCAGGGGGCCAACTTTGCCTACCGTGAGTAGGGCCACCAGGCTGGCTGGGACAGGAAAAGGGGAATAGATGGGCAGCTGCAGAGAACCGGAGTGACCCACTGACCTTCTTCCCCAGCTCCTGTTGGCACCCAGCCCATCCGCATCGAGTCCTCCTCCTCCCACGTGGCTGAAGGGCAGACCCTGGATCTGAACTGCTTGGTGCCTGGGCAGGCCCATGCCCAGGTCACATGGCATAAGCGTGGGGGCAGCCTCCCTGCCCGGCACCAGGTATAAGACTCGAGAGGAGCCAGGAGGGAGGCCCCTGGGTGGTGAGGTCAGAGCAGGTGGGGGGGGGGGGGACTCCTCTGAGACAGGGGAAGCGTGAGCCCATTGCTCAGGTGTGGAGTGCAGAGAAAGAGCCCAGACTCTGGGACCTCAGCGTGAATGCTGCTCCCACCGCTGACTAGCTTGTGACCTTGAACTTGTTACTTAACCTCTCTGTGCCACAGTTTCAGCCCCTTTTAATTGGAATAGCCCCTTCCTTATACAGTTGTCTTACGGTGAAGTGAACTAATATTTAGGCAAAGTGTTCAGAGCACCGGCACACAGAAAGTGCCATGAGCTGTGTTATCACTATCATTCCATTCGCTATTATTATTAATTCTATTATTATAGAATTTAGGATGCCATTGATTGCAAGAGTCACCATTATTTTAGGTGCCTCTAAGGCAGTGGTTCTCAGCCTTTCTAATGCCACGACCCTTTATGCAGCTCCTCATGTTGGGGTGACCCCCGAGCATAAAATTATTTTCGTTGCTACTTCCTAACTGTCATTTTGCTACTGTTATGAATTGTAATGTAAATATCTGTTTTTCGATGTCTTGGGCGACCCTGCTAGCAGTTCTCTATGATTCATTAACAGTAGCAAAATTAAACGAAAATAATTTTTTGGTCGGGGGTCACCACAACATGAGGAGCTGTATTAAAGGGTCGCGGCATTAAAAAGGTTGAAAACCACTTCTCTAAGGGGGGGTGGGGGGAAGCTGCCATTTAATTGTGAGAGTATTCACTCTAAAAGACGCCTCGGGACACCAGAAAGTATGTCCCAGAATTGATGGAATGTGGTATTGGTGCTTGTCCAGTTCACCATGGCTCCTCCTGGCCACCCAGCACTCCTGGGGCGAACCTCCGTTTCCCCACCCCTAACGCAGGATGGCGCTGATGGCCAGGCCTCAGGGCTCAGAGAGAGGCACGCTAGAGTGCAGGGGTCTCATGGAGCCCCCTCTGACCTCACCTTCCTTTCCGCCAGACCCACGGCTCACTGCTGAGACTACACCAGCTGTCCCCAGCTGACTCGGGCGAGTATGTGTGCCGTGTGGTGGTGGGCTCGGTGCCCCTGGAGGCCTCTGTCCGGGTCACCATTGAGCCTGTGAACCCTGTGCCTGGTGAGTGGTACTGGGCAGGGGAGGAGGGGGCGGGGAAAGAGGAGGGCCGGAATGGAAAGGCTACGGGCCCAGCCAGGAGAGACTTCCACTCCAGCAATGGCAGGATCTCACGAGACCAAAGCCCCTACCTTCACTCACCCACACTTCCTCCTCCCGTTCCAGCCGGGATTGACCCTCTGCTCTCTGTCCCCAGCGCTCGGAGTCACCCTCCCCATCCGGATTGAGTCCTCCTCCTCACACGTGGCAGAAGGGCAGAACCTGGACCTGAACTGCCTGGTCACTGGGCAGGCCCACGCCCAGATCACATGGCACAAAAGAGGGGGCAGCCTTCCTGCCCGGCACCAGGTAGGCGGCGGGGAGCGACTAAGGGACCTGAAGGACCCTGGTGACTGCAGAATAAGGGCCCTAGTCTCTGAATTCAGGCATGCTCCAGTGTGGATGCTGCTCTCTGCCTCTGGCCTGCTGTCTCTGCCTCTGGCCTGCTGTGTAACTTTATTTTTTTTTTTAATTTTTAATATAGTTCATTGTTTTTTAACAGAAAGGAAGAGAGAGGGATAGAGAGTTAGAAACATCGATGAGAGAGAATCATCAACCAGCTGCCTCCTGCACACACACACCTCCCCCCCCCCCCCCCACTGGGGATGTGCCCGCAACCAAGGCATGTGCCCTTGACCGGAATCGAACCTGGGACCCTTCAGTCCGCAGGCAGATGCTCTATCCACTGAGCCAAACCGGTTTCGGCCTGCTGTGTGACTTTAGGCCAATCATTTGACTTCCCGATGCTCAGTGTCCTCCTCTGCCACGTGGCTCACACTGACTCCTTCTCCTGCCCAGGAGCTCATCAGCAGGTGCCGGGCCCGTATTCTCCCTGCTGGACCTGTCCTCCTACTGGGATGGGGAACTGAAGAGTCATGAATGGAGGATCTCCCTGGAAGAGCTTCCCCCAGCTCCGGGGGCGGAGGCAGGAGTCAGATGAGAGGGGCCAGAAAAGGGAGCCGGAGCCCGGCTGCCAGCCCCAGTGCCCAGCTCTGAGCCTGCCTCCTCCTGTCCCTCAGGTACACGGGTCCAGGCTGTTGCTGCCCCAGGTGACTCCAGCGGACTCTGGAGAATACATCTGCCGTGTGACCAGCAGCTCGGGCCCCCAGGAAGCCTCGGTCCTCGTCACCATCCAGCAGCGCCTTAGTCCCTCCCACCGTGAGTATCTCGGGGGTCATAGAACGTGGTGAGCGGCCGCGAGGGCCTCTCCACCCTCCGCGGCCCCCACACCCTGCCTCCCGTGTCCCCCTCCCAGCCCAGAGCGTGGTGTACCCCGTCCGCATCGAGTCCTCCTCGTCCTCCCTGGCCAACGGACATACCCTGGACCTCAACTGCCTGGTGGCCAGCCAAGCCCCGCACACCATCACCTGGTACAAGCGTGGAGGCAGCCTACCCAGGCGGCACCAGGTACCAACCAGCGGGGAGAAGCTGAGCGCACTGGCCTTGATGGGAATCGGGAAAGGTTTCCAGCACCTCCTCTGTGCTCATTCAGTCATTCAACAAACACCAGCTGTTCTTGCTGTGTGGGCCCTGGACCAGTGTTGGGGATATGGAGATACGTCCCTCTGACCTCAGTTGAATGCCATGTTTTAACAGAACATTCTATGAGTCGCTAACTCCACTTCCCTGAGAACTTGCTCCAGGCCAAGCCTCGTCCCCGGCACTAAGGGTTCCAAATGCCGGTGCCCGCCCTCAGGGAGCTCCCAGGGGGAGGCAGATGTGCCGCTGACAGCAGTGTAACAAGAGCCACAGCAGGGCGCTATGGCGTCACTGGGATGGGCCTCCGCAGAGCAGTACAAAGGCTAGAGGCCCCGTGCTCCCCAGCCCAGAGCCTCCGGGAGGCCGCTGAGGGAGTTCTGAAGGAGGCCGGGTGAGGGCTGGCCCCAGGCAGGGCAGGGGTGCTCCCAGAGTCCAGGGCCCGAAGCAGCGATGCCCGAGACGTGGAGAGGCTGCCCTCACCCACGGACACTCGCTCCCCTTCAGATCGTGGGCTCCCGGCTACGGATCCCCGAGGTGACGCCAGCCGACTCAGGCGAGTATGTGTGTCACGTCAGTAACGGCGCCAGCTCCCAGGAGACCTCTCTGATCATCACCATCCAGGGCGGCAGCTCCTCCCACGGTGAGAGCACACCGGCAGGGGGGCCGGGCATGGGCGCAGGGGGAAGTGTCTGGCACCGTCTGTGTTGGCTGACCGGTCACATCTGACCTTCTCTGTCCCCAGTGCCCAGTGTCTCCCCACCCATCAGGATCGAGTCCTCATCCCCCACCGTGGTTGAAGGGCAGACCTTGGATCTGACCTGCGTGGTGGCTGGGCAGCCCCAGGCCATCATCACGTGGTACAAGCGTGGGGGCACCCTCCCTGCCCGACACCAGGTACAGAGTGGAGCGTGGCCCTGGGGGCAGGTCCTCACCTCCTGGGGCGGGTGCAAGGACGGCCCTGGGGCAAAGAACCGAAGCATTCGCTGGCAGTCCTGGGCAGTCCTCCCTGCTTCCCCCGGGCAGACAGAAGGTAGCTGCCAGGGTCCCACGTCCCACATGGTTCAGGGTTCAGGTTCAGGGTTCGGGCTCTGGAGGAGGCCCCGTGCAAATGAAAGAGACAAGACAAGAAATAATCATTTGGAAATTGGGGGCCAGGCAGAAGCCCAAGGTAGGACTCTGCTTTGCTCTGGCCTTGCCATCCTTTTATTCAGGTTTGAGATACCCCCATAGCCCTTAGGCAGGCCATCCCAGTAACAGGCAGACTCTAGTATCAGTGAGGATTTACATGGCTATATGGTGGGGAAGTTGCTTCATCTCCATTGTCTGGACTAAACAGTGGGTGCGTAGCCCTGACCTTTGCCAGAGCTCAAGGTCTTCAGCCCTCCGGGTTCCTGGTCCACACCTCTCTGCTAGTGAAGACAACGGGCGGTTTCCCACCCGTAGCCTCAGAGGTCTGACGAGGGAGGCCGGCGAAGAGGCCTGGCCCAGCCGCGACCCCTGGGCCCTTCCATTTCCTCTCTCCCTCCTTCCCCATTGACCCTCCAGGCCCACGGCTCCCACCTGCGGCTGAATCAGCTGACCGTGGCCGACTCGGGCGAGTACGTGTGCCGGGCCAACAACAACATTGACGCCCGGGAGGCTTCCATCACCGTCTCCGTCTCCCCCAGCGCTGGCAACCCCTCCGGTGAGTCTGACGCAGACCCAGGAAGGGACCAGGAGACACGGGTTACAGGGCCCGGGGCAGGACGGACTCTGCACAAAGATGCCTGGGTTTGAATCCGGCCTGTACCAAGAAGGGACTTGAGTGAGTTATTCTCTTCCCCCAGCCTCAGTTTCTTCCTCAGCGAAATGGGCATTTTGCTCATGCCAGCCTCCTGGAGCTGTCTCAAACGATGCTGCCAGCCACAGGTGGCAATTGAATTCTTTTTTCTTTTTTTTTTTTTTAATATACTTTATTGATTTTTTACAGAGAGGAAGAGAGAGGGATAGAGAGAAATATCGATGAGAGAGAAACATCGATTAGCTGCCTCTTGCACACCCCCTAGTGGGGATATGCCCGCAACCAAGATACATGCTCTTGACCGAAATCAAACCTGGGACCTTGCAGTCCCCAGGCCGACACTCTATCCACTGAACCAAACCAGTTTCGGCTGAATTCTTTTTTTTTAATTTCAAATTCCTAGCCTACATTTCAAGAGCTTGGTGGCCACACGAGTATAGCTAGCAGCCACTGTATTGGGCAGTGCAGGTAATAGAACATTTCTGTCATCGAAGGAAGTTTATGCATTTTGTGAGGACTAAATGAGTTTAACATCCAGAAAGTGCTTAGAGCGGTGCCCAGCACACTGTAAGCGCTTCGTAAGTGTTGACCTTGGGGGTGGGAGCTTCCGTGGCTGAGGTATCTGTCAACCCAGCTGTTCCCCAACCTGACTCTGCCCAAAGCCCTGACTTGGTGTGTCTGTGCCCCCAGCCGCTGCGGGTGCTGTGCCCATCAGAATTGAGTCATCATCTTCGCACGTGGCCGAAGGGCAGACCCTGGATCTGAACTGTGTGGTCCCCGGACAGGCCCACGCCCAGGTCACGTGGCACAAGCGTGGCGGCAGCCTCCCCACTCACCACCAGGTACGGGAGTCTGGGGGCAGGAAATGGTGGGAGGGCTGCTGGGTGTGGAGGCCCTAGATCGGGGTCTGCTCCCTAAGCCCTGCCCAGCAAGGAGGCCTGGGAGACCCTGTGGGGTGTACTTGCCTCCCTGGCGCCATCCTTCAAGGTCCCGACCGCCATGTCTGCTCCTCCGTCTCCCTGTCCTGTCCCGCTCAGGCCCACGGCTCGCGGCTGCGGCTGTACCAGCTGTCCCCCGCTGACTCGGGCGAGTACATCTGCCGTGTGGTGAGCAGCTCTGGCTCCCTGGAGGCCTCGATCCTGGTCACCGTTGAGGGCTCTGGCTCTAGTACCGTTCCTGGCTCTGGTAAGAGTCCCTGCAGTGGTGCCAGGAGGCTGAAAAGGGGAAGGGGCACCAGCAGGCAGAGGTCAAGTGGGGTGCAGCTCTCGGGCCCTGGAGCAGACTTTGGAGCCTGGCATATGTGGGCCTGGGTCCCAGCTCCTCGGTCTACACCCTGAGATGTTACACAGTCCTCTCCTCTCTGCGTTTCACTTTCTTCATCTGTAAAGTGGGGACAGTCAGCTCTTTCCCTAAAGACGGGCAGTGCGCCTGCAGGGAACACAGGGAGCACGTGAGGGTGATTTGAGGTGGCACCCTCATAGGCGTCTTCTGCGTTAATGGCGGACTGTTAGGGGGAAAACAGCAACACATCAACCCTGTCATCATTTCATGGAAATTATTGCCTGTCACCGGGCGAAGTATGAAAGGTGTTTTTGTTTGTTTTGTTTTTAATGAATCCATCGAAAGGAACATGTAATTAATAGCACAGGGAACACATGGCTGTGGCAGACATCATGATAACAGTATGTGAATTGCTGAGTGACAAACATGATATAGCATGAGTAATGTTATATTTACACACATTGACTCATTCCATCCTTACAGTAATGCCTGGAGGTAGGTATGCTTGCTCTCTCCATTTTATGGATGGGGACACTGAGACACAGACGTGAAGGACCTTTCCTAACATCACAGAACTCCGGGCGGAGCTGGGTTTTGAACCCAGGCGATCTGGCCACAGAGCCTGAGTTCCTAGCCACACACGACTCGTGTTTAGGAAACAACTGTGGTTTGTGTGGAGGTACCTGGCCCCGAGCCCAGCTGTCAGTGACGCACAGGAGGAGACGGTGGGACCAGTGTCCGGGGCGGGGCTGGGACTAGACTAGCCTAGCTGCTCCCGGCCTCAGGAGAATGCGGAAGGGGGAATCGAAGCCACCTCTCTATGGTCTCTGGTCTGAACATCTGGGAATGAGGGCACGAGGGGTTGGGAGGGGAGTCCCAGTTCACTGGCCTCTACTTGTGCCCCAGCTCCAGGCAGAGTCCCACCCATTCGAATCGAAACCTCCTCCTCCCACGTGGCTGAAGGGCAGACCCTGGATCTGAAATGTGTGGTGCCCGGGCATCCCCACGCCCAGGTCACATGGCACAGGCGAGGGAACAGCCTTCCCGCCGGGCACCAGGTAAGGGAGCTGGAGAAAGCAGGATGCGGGCACTCCCCACCCCACCCCCTGCTCAGGCAATCCTGCCGGAATCCAGCCCCACGACCCCTGGGTGTCAGGAGGTCAAGAGCCCTGCGTGCCACTCTGGCACCTTGATGGGAATGAGAAGAGGGCAGCTCTTACCCCTCCTCCCAGAAAAAATGTCGTAATAAACACGCTGGACCATGTCTGCTGTCAAAGGGGGGTGCCTTTGGCAGGACGCAGCCTGTATAACGGCGTGTGGCAGTCCTGGGGTACAGGTTCCAGAGGACCTGGATGTCTGGAGGCCTGGGCCACTGGCCCCCCAGTTCACCCCCAACTCTCACCCCAACCTTGGCCAGGTCCACGGCCCCCTGCTGAGGCTGAACCAGGTGTCCCCTGCTGACTCTGGCGAGTACTCCTGTCAAGTGACCAGCGGCTCGGACACCCTGCGAACTTCCGTCCAGGTCACCATCCAGGCCTCCAGCCCAGCCCCCATTCCTGGTGAGTGCTGGGAGCAGTGGGCAGTGCTGGGACCCTGGCTTGTAGGGGGCCCTTTCTGGCCTCGCTCCTCCCTGGTCTCCCAGCAGGGCGCTGGCCCTGGGCTCCATGGAGGTCCTCCGGCTGCTCCCCAACCACCAGGTCTGACGCTGAGTCTACTATGGCACCTTGGCCCCCGGGGAATGGAGACCCCTCTTAGGTCAATGGCACGCAGCCATGGCAGTCACTGTGCTACCAGGAGGACCAGTTGGCATCCACTTTAGGTCCCTGCCTTCACCCTGGGAGCTTTGCCTTTCTCACCCACCATTGTGCCCACAGCCCCAGGACTGGCCCAGCCCATCTACATCGAGGCCTCCTCCTCCAACGTGGCTGAAGGAGAGACCCTGGACCTGAACTGTGTGGTTCCCGGGCAGGCCCACGCCCAGGTCACATGGTTCAAGCGTGGGGGCAGCCTGCCCGCCCGGCACCAGGTAGAGGGACCAGGGTGGGGTGGTTCCAGGCAGGCAGGGTTTGACCTGCAGTTGCCTTCTACACCCTAAACCTCATGCAAACCCTGGCCTGTGTGGGGGCCCCAGGAGAGAAAATACTTTTTGCGGGGAAGAGTTCACCAGCCTGGGAGTCGAGACACCCGGGGTTTTTTTTGTGTTTTTTTTTTCCTGGCGTTGCTGTTGAGCCAGTTTCCTCCTCTGGAAAGTGGGGGGTTGGTCATGGAAGACTCTGTGAATGAAGCTCGTCTGCATCAGCTGGAGCCCTGAGACCAAGGCAGAACTCGGGAGATCTCCCAGGCACTTGCACGGGCACAGCCAGGCCTGGGGACTTGCCCCGTCCAAGCCTTTGGCCTGATGGCTGCCCCATCCTCATTCCGACAGACCCATGGCTCCCGGCTCCGGCTTCACGACATCTCCGCAGCCGATTCCGGCGAGTACGTCTGCCACATCGTTGGCGGTGCGGGCCCTGAACAGGAGGCCTCCTTCACCGTCACCGTCCAGCCCAAAACGGCGGGCTCCTCCTTCCGTGAGTGTGGCAGATGCCAGGGCAGCGGGGAGAGGGGAGACGAGCTGAGACGGCGGGGTTGAGCCAACCCAGCCCTGCTGAACCCCACCCTCCGTGCCCCTCATCCCCCAGGCTATAATAGTCCTGTCATCTCCATCGACCCGCCCAGCAGCACCGTGCAGCAGGGCCAGGATGCCAGCTTCAAGTGCCTCATTCACGAGGGGGCAACCCCCATCCGCATTGAGTGGAAGTTCCGTAACCAGGAGCTGGAGGGTGAGCTGGGTGGGGTGGGTAGGGCTGGAGGCAGGTATCAATGTATAGTGATCACCACTGTGGGTGGGCAGAGGCTGAGGATGGCACCAAACTCACCGTGTGGCCCTGGGCAAGGCCCTTCACTTTGGGGCCTCCGGGCTGGACCCAGGAGTCTGCAAGGACTCTCTCATTTGCCATCTATGACCCTGTGGGCTGGACACCCAGGCTGGCGGTGTCAGGGGCGTGGGGCAGAGGTACACCTACTGACAGCACCCACGCATGGAACACTCTCACTGACCATACCCTCCCCATTGCCAACCCACAGACAACGTCCATATCAGCCCCAACGGCTCCATCATCACCATTGTGGGCACCCGGCCCAGCAACCATGGTGCCTACCGCTGCGTGGCTACCAATGGCTATGGCGTGGCCCAGAGCGTCGTGAACCTCAGTGTGCATGGTGAGGGGCGTCAACCCCATGGGCTCTACCTTCCTGTTTCCAGACACCCCTCCTCCCACCCCCCATCTCAGGCTCAGAGCCTCCAGGTTTAAATCCTCCCTCTGCCACTGCTTCCCTCTCGGGCATCCTACCTCTCTGAACCTCAGTTTCCACGTTGTGCAGTGGGGACACGAGTACCCACACGGTAGTCACTGGGAAGGGGTGGTGGCAGTGTGACCGACGGACCCTGCGTGTGTGTCAGCTGTCACTCCTCCGGCAGGGCCGCCCACGGTGTCTGTGCTGCCCGAGGGCCCCGTGCGGGTGAAGGTGGGAAAGGCCGTCACCCTGGAGTGCGTCAGTGCCGGGGAGCCCCGCTCTTCCGCTCGCTGGACGCGGGTCGGCGCCCCCACCCACGTGGAGCAGCGGATGTTTGGGTTCGCGGACAGCCACACGATGCTGCAGGTGAGGCGTGGCTTCCTCTGGCCAGAGGCCCCGGCTCTTTTATCCTCGGGTCTGAGGCCCAGGCAGGGCCCGTCCTTGAGCAGATGTTTGGAGTAAAGAGTGTTGGATGGGCAGTCAGGTGATGAATGGATGGAGAGAGAAAGGGAGGAATGGGATAGGTGGATAGTGGGTAGATTGGAAAATGGAAGGGAGGGCCGAAACCGGTTTGGCTCAATGGATAGAGCGTCGGCTTGGGGATTGAAGGGTCCCGGGTTCGATTCCGGTCAAGGGCATGTACCTTGGTTGCGGGCACATCCCCAGTGGGGGGTGTGCAAGAGGCAGCTGATAGATGACTCTCTCTCATTGATGTTTCTAACTCTATCTCTCTCCCTTCCTCTCTGTACAAAATCAATAAAATACATTAAAAAAAAAAAAAAAAAGAAAGGAAGGAAGGAAGAAAATGGAAGGGAGGGATAGAGGGAGGGAGGGGGTGGGCGGGGAGGTGAGTGGATGGGTAGAAGGGCCAATAGGATGTCTTGAGTGTTAGCTCTCAGGCTGCCAGCCCAATAGGAAAGCTAAAAACAAAAGGAAGGGGAGAGGAAAGGTGAAGCCGAGGCAGACGGGAGGCGGGTGCCACGGTCCTCTCTCGGTGCCCACATGACCGGCCTCCTTGCTTTCTTCCAGATTTCATCGGCTAAACCATCCGATGCGGGCACCTATGTGTGCCAGGCTCAGAACGCACTGGGCACGGCACAGAAGCGGGTGGAGGTGATTGTGGACACGGGCGACGTGACCCCCGGGGCCCCACAGGTCCAGGTTGAAGAGGTTGAGTTGACCGTGGAAGCTGGACACACGGCCACCCTGCGCTGCTCGGCCACAGGTGCGGACGGGGGCCGGCACACGGGGCAGGCAGAGCAGTGGTGCCTGGGGCTTGACTTTTAGGCACAAGAAACCTGAAGATGGTGTCATGCCGCTGCATCTCCCGGGGATGGCCGAGGTGCCCGCGTAGTGCCTCCCGTGAAGGGGCAAGACCACCCAGGTCTTTCCCTCACCATCCCAGCTGGACCCCGAGGTAGCCCGGTGACGTCTGCTGCCTTCTCCTCCGCTTCACAGGCAGCCCCACGCCCACCATCCACTGGTCCAAGCTGCGCTCCCCGCTGCCCTGGCAGCACAGGCTGGAAGGCGACACGCTGGTCATTCCCCGGGTAGCCCAGCAGGACTCGGGCCAGTACATCTGCAACGCCAGCAGCCCCGCCGGCCACGCCGAGGCCACCATCCTCCTGCACGTGGAGAGTAAGGCCCTCCTCTGCCACTGTCCCTCCCGCATGCAGGTCTGAGCCCTGCCTCCCCCCACCGGACCACACCCTGGGCAGAACCCCCTTCGGAAGGTTTCAACACCCTCAGACCCCAGCGCCTCCTCCCGCCTAAAGCCCAAAAGTCCCCTTATCCCCCGTCCATGGGGCTCACCATTCCGTTTCCTTGGTTCTTTGGGAAGCCTCCTGTCCCATCCTGACCTCTGCTCTTCCCCCTCTCCCCCTCTGCGTCCCCTTCCCCCAGGCCCTCCGTACGCCACCACGGTCCCGGAGCACACTTCGGTGCAAGCCGGGGAGGCGCTGCAGCTGCAGTGCCTGGCTCACGGGACGCCCCCGCTCACCTTCCAGTGGAGCCGCGTGGGTGGTACCCTCCCTGGGAGGGTGACAGTCAGGAACGAGCTGCTTCACTTTGAGTCTGTGGCCCCCGAGGACTCCGGCCGCTACCGCTGTCAGGTCACCAACAAGGTGGGCTCGGCGGAGGCCTTCACCGTGGTACTCGTCCAAGGTGAGCAGCCGAGCTCAGGCTGGGCAGAGGGGTCAGCTTTCCTCCAGGCCCTTTACTTACCCAGCAACTGGCACCTCGGGACCCCCCATGTAGGACATTAGGACCTCCCTCCATAACCCCACCTGGAAATCCCGCCTTTTCCCATTCTCTACAACTTGAAGACCCCATCCCTGAGTTCTCAGCACCACCAGCTCTCACGGCTGCATCCCTCCGCTGGCATCCCTCTGCTCGCATTGCCAAGGGCTGTCTGAGGACCAAATCCTCCAGACGTCACCTATCAGACAGGGGATGCTCAGGGCGGGGCTTGGGCTCAGTCACTTCAGCAGCCCCGGGCTTGTCCACCATAGGACCCAGAACAGGCTCCGTAAAAGGCTGGCACTGCTGACCGTGCATGTGTGACAGGGCAGCACCCACACCTGGCGTGCCCAGGGTTCCCGTAGATCTCCAAAGAATCCAATCTCCGTGGCCTCCTCCATCCATTACACAAGGCCACGCAAGTGCTGCTGAGCCCCAGATTCTAGCAGTGGGAAAGCATGTAGCCCGTTGGCCAAGAGCCTGGGCTACCACGGGCCTGGGTTCAGTGGGCAGCTCGGTCACTTGGCAGTGGTAAGACATGGCCAAGCAGTCTCCCTCCCCAGTTTCTTTGTCTGGAAAGTAGAGAGAACAATGCTAGCACATAGGTTGACTAAGAGAGATACACATACTAGGACAGGAAGCCGGTGGCACACAGTAGGCACTTATAATATGTATCTACACCTACCCTGCCATCTGTCCCCAGCTGGAGGACCCATGCCTTCCCCATGACCATGGATCCTCTTAGGATAGCCAAGAGCTAATGGAAGCACAGAGCCCAGTGCCTCCCAGGCTCTTATATGTGTTGATTGGATGGCTGCATGAACGAGCAAATGAAAGGTCTTTTTCTTTGATCAAAGGAGCTTCCAGGAGGAGAATATTCCCAGTTTTAGGATGGAGGCATCAGGGGTCATACCCACACACCCTCGTATATGTCCCCGCAGGCACCTCCGGCTCTCTCCCTGCGATCCCCAGCCCAGAAGGAGCCACACCCACCGTTCAGGTCACGCCTCAGCTGGAGACCAAGAGCCTCGGGGCCAGTGTGGAGTTCCATTGCGCCGTGCCTAACGACCAAGACACCCAGCTCCGCTGGATCAAGCAAGGGGGTCAGCTGCCTCCTGGCCACAGTGTGCAGGATGGGGTGCTCCGGTGAGTGGGGACGGGAGCAGGACTGGCCTTGGGCACGCCGGCCTTGGTGTGCAGTGGGGCTGTTGGAATACCTGCCTTCTTGGGGCTCCACATGAAGCAGTGTCCCTGGGCAAGTCGCTTCACCTCTGACCTCAGTGTTAACTGTGTGGTGGGCTGTGAGATCAACATGAAGTTATCTAAAGCACTTGACACCGTGCTTAGCATATGCAAAGTCTTTAGTGAAGAGCGGCCCCTATCCGTATTCTGATACAGAGGAAAGCGCTCAGGCTCTGTGGCCGGATATAGACATGATCCATATTGCAGCTCTGCAGATTGATAACTTTTATCTTGAGCTTTAAACCATAAGGTGTTGGTCCAAAATGAGTGCGGTGAAGGCACCCTGCCTGCCACCCTGCCTACCTCCCACGGTTTCTGGGAACTAGAAGTGACACCGTGTGCTGATCTCTGGTGGCTTTGAACTCCCGTGCAATTGCAAAGTATTCTCATCAATTGTTTTTATTCACTGATGACTTACTATTTTTTTTTTCTTTACAGAATCCATAACTTGGACCAGAGCTGCCAAGGGACATATGTTTGCCAGGCTTATGGACCATGGGGACAGGCCCAGGCCAGCGCCCAGCTAGTTGTCCAAGGTAAGATGGTGGCGTCAGGCCTCTGCCAGGAGCAGGGGACAGGAAAAGGAACAAAGGAACTGTGTTCCCCAGGAAGCCCCTTAAATGTTATGAATGAAGAGGACAATCTGATTGTATTTTGCTTGTGTCTGGCGTAGAGTAAGAGGGTTGACAAATATTACAAGGGAAAAAGGAAGAAGGGAGATGGGTGGAGTGAGGGGGTGCTCAGACAAACCAATGAAGAATGACATTGGATGCACAAGTGAGTGAAGGAATAAACAAAAGAGCAAATAGTGAGTGTGCTAATGAGTGAATGCTTCAAAAAGTGAATGAAGGCCCTAGCTGATTTGGCTCAGTGGCTAGAGCGTCGGCCTGCAGGATGTACTGAAGGGTCCCAGGTTCGATTCCGGTCAAGGGCATGTACCTTGGTTGCAAGACACATCCCCAGTAGGGGGTGCGCAGGAGGCAGCGGATCGATGTTTTTCTCTCTCATTGATGTTTCTAATTCTCTATCCCTCTCCCTTCCTCTCTGTAAAAAAAATCAATAAAAAAAAAAATTTTTTTTTTAAGTGAATGAAGAAATGAATGAGTGTCTCAGGCTCCAGTGCCCACCTTTTCCCGCGCTCTCAGGCCAGGCCTGCAGCAGGTTGGCCTCATGCTGCCTCTGCCTTCTCCTCCCGCAGCCCTGCCCTCGGTGCTCATCAACATCCGGACTTCCGTGCACTCCGTGGTGGTCGGCCACGCTGTGGAGTTTGAGTGCCTGGCCATGGGTGACCCCAAGCCTCAGGTGACATGGAGCAAAGTTGGAGGACGCCTGCGGCCTGGCATCATGCAGAGCGGAGGCGTCGTCAGGATTGCCCACGTCGAGCTGGCCGATGCTGGGCAGTACCGCTGCACGGCGACCAACGCCGCCGGCACCACCCAGTCCCACGTGCTTCTGCTTGTGCAAGGTGAGGGCCCGCAGGGGCCTCTGCGGGGACGGGAGGGTGTGGCGGGGGTGTCTCAGGCTACCATCCCCTGCCTTGCCTGCTCTACTCTTCCTTTCCACTCTCTCGGGAAGTTTCAATTTTGTGTATTTAAGAGGCAGGTTTCCTAAGAGAGGTGGCAGCAGCGGGATATAAGTAAGTGTTCCTCTGGATCAGGCTGGGACTTGCAGGAAAGGGCTACCCCCAGGGGCATCAAAGGAAAGTGGATATGCAGCCCTCACCTACTGGAGCACCTGTTCTGATGAGGGAGACCTACAGCCCAGTCTGAGGGCTGAGACCTGTAGACACCAAACAGACCCAACAGAGAATAAAACAAGGGCAGTGGATGCAGAGCAGACACAAAGCTGTGCTTTCTTCAAAGGCAATTCCTTTTGCCCTGCCCCTTAACCTTATGCCCTGCCCCCTAACTTCCTGACCCACACTGCCCTAGGACCTACCTCTTCCCAGGTCCCCAAAGGACTGCACCATTTTCTGGCCAGCTGTGTTGAAGAGTCTTGGGCTGTGGAGTCAGATGGACCTGTTCCTGGGCCCTGCCTCTGCCCGGTTCCACCTGTGCCACCAGGAACGAACACGTCAGGGCATAGGCTAGGCTCACAAACAATGGCTGTCGTCCCGTTCACGGCCTCTGTTTCCTTCCTCCCTCTTAGCCTTGCCCCAGATCTCAACACCCCCGGAGGTCCGTGTGCCTGCTGGTTCTGCAGCCGCCTTCCCCTGCATGGCCTCTGGCTACCCTACTCCCGACATCAAATGGAGCAAGGTAAAGGCCTGGCAGGGGACCAGTGGGCATACCTGAGGGTCAGCGACCAGGTCTTCACCATCTCGGTGCCCCAGGATCTGGCCCCAGCTTGGCACAGAGTGCTCAGGGTTTTTGAGGGTGGGCCTGACAGACATGGGAGACAGGCCCTATGGGGGTGCAGGCTCGGGCCAGGGTCCAAAGTGTGGGTGTGTTTGCAGCTGGATGGGAACCTGCCGCCTGGCAGCCGCGTGGAGAACAACATGCTGCTGCTGCCCTCAGTTCGACCCCAGGACGCGGGCACCTACGTCTGCACTGCCACTAACCGCCAGGGCAAGGTCAAAGCCTTCGCTGACCTGCAGGTGCCAGGTAAGACAGCACCCCGGACAGTAGTGCCCTGCCCGCTGCCTGGTGGGCATCGTCTCTAACTCTGCTCTCTGCCAACAGAGCGGGTGGTGCCCTACTTCACGCAGACCCCCCACTCCTTCCTGCCACTGCCCACCATCAAGGATGCCTACAGAAAGTTTGAGATCAAGATCACCTTCCGGCCTGACTCAGCTGATGGTGAGCAGGAGAGAAGCCGATTCGGGGGAGGCCTGGTGTAGCTGCCATCATGTTATGAGCCCTGGTAGCCCCCAGTCCTCCTCACCTCCCTCAGCCCTTCCCTGTCCTGGAGACCCCAGGCCTGCCGGGCCTCCCCTCGGGGCCCTCTCTCACGCCTTCTCCTTCTCCATCCCCACCTCCATGACATCTCTCGTCTTAAGTCTCCCATGGTCCCCCTGCCATCAGTGCATCGACACCCAGCCCTCCTGTCCCACCTTCCTGTTCTTATCTCCGCTCCGTCTTCCCTCCCCCTCCCATCTCTCACCCTTTCCTCCTCTCTTCTCTCTCATCTGTCTCCTCCCACCTCGCGCGGGTCTCTGACTTTCCCTGTCCAGGCCTCCTCCTCTACTCAGGTGAGTTCTGCCTCCATCACCTCGTTCAGGTAGACCCCCCCCCAGTGTGAGTGAAGCCACTTCAGGGTCTGTCTAGGAGCCGTCAGCAGGGCCTTCGGTTAGGGCACACCCTGAGGTAGTGGGGAGGCTCTGGCTGTGTGCGGTGTCCCAGGGGAGGGACAGCTGTCAGAATGAAGGGCTCGCAAGCGTGGATGGTCCATGCTTGGCTGGGCACACAGGGAGCCCATAGCTGACTGGGAGGCTCTTACACATCTGCACTCCCCCCCCACACCCCCCACCCCACCCCGCCAGGAATGCTGCTGTACAACGGGCAGAAACGGATCCCCGGCAGCCGCACCAACCTGGCCAACAGGCTGCCCGACTTTATCTCCTTCGGCCTCGTGGGCGGGAGGCCCGAGTTCCGGTGAGACCCTCCCCATTTACAGGGGGCGGCGGACAAGTGCATCCTTAGGAGCTGGGACTGCTGCAGTCCGGGATTCATTCATTCATGCAACAGTGACTTGTTGAGCACCGCCTATGTGCCAGGCACTTGTGGGGACGTATATTCTAGCTGGGGAAGACTAGCCGTAAACAAAGATGGGAAGAAACAAGGTGATCTCAGAGGGGCATTGAGGCCAGGTGCTAGGCTGTAGGGCCTCAGGACCCAGGCAATTAGAACCCTGGGGGCTAGTCTGGATCCGTCCCCAGGGCAGGAGTGTAGGGGAAGAGAAGCGCTAGGGAAGGCACAGGGATGGGGCAAGCTGGGAGTGGGTAATGGGGCTTGTGACGAGGCAGGCACAGGAACTGGAGTAGGACTGTGGGCGATGGTGACATCACCTTTGCCCAGGCTGGGCCCCCTGCCCAGCCCTTCTTACGAACCAGACATCCTCCCTCTCTTGCCCTGGCCCTGCCCCGTGGAGTAGGTTTGACGCAGGCTCAGGCATGGCCACCATCCGCCACCCAACACCGCTGGTGCTGGGCCAGTTCCATACGGTGACCCTGCTGCGCAGCCTCACCCAGGGCTCCCTGATTGTGGGCAGCCTGGCCCCAGTCAACGGGACCTCCCAGGTGAGCCTCAACCCATCCCCGTATCCCCAGCCCCGGCCCCACTCCACCCAGCCTGCTTGCCGTTCCTGACCTCTCCGCTCCCCAGGGCAAGTTCCAAGGCCTGGACCTGAATGAGGAGCTCTACCTGGGCGGCTACCCTGACTACGGCGCCATCCCCAAAGCGGGGCTGAGCAGCGGCTTCATAGGTGAGCTCCCTCCCCATCTGCAGCCCTGCCTGGCCTTTCCAGCACCCTCGGAGCCTGGGAGGGCCTGCGCAGTGTGGTTAGGCCGAAACCGATTTGGCTCAGTGGATAGAGCGCCGGCCCGCAGACTGAAGGGTCCCGGGTTTGATCCCGGTCAAGGACATGTATCTTGGTTGCGGGCACATCCCCAGTAGGGGGTGAGCACGAGGCAGCTGATCGATGTTTCTCTCTCATAGATGTTTCTAGCTCTCTATCTCTCTCCCTTCCTCTCTGTAAAAAAAATCAATAAAAATATATATTAAAAAAAAAAAAAAAAAAAGTGTGGTTGGGATGAGCACCCCACCTTTGCTCACCCACCTGTCCCCCTTCCCCCCAGGCTGTGTCCGGGAGCTACAAATCCAGGGTGAGGAGATCGTCTTCCACGACTTCAACCTCACAGCACACGGCATCTCCCACTGCCCCACCTGCCGGGACCAGCCGTGCCAGGTAACCCCACGCCTCACGTGCCACCTGGCTGCCCCTGGCCACCGCCCTCCGCTGTGGCAGAGCCCCGTGGGGAGCGGGAGAGCCGGTTTTCTTGGCCTGATGTTTCGGGGTGCCTTACAGAACGGGGGCTGGTGCCAGGACTCGGAGAGCAGCAGCTACCTGTGCATCTGCCCGGCTGGCTTCACCGGGAGCCGCTGTGAGCACTCCCAGGCCCTGCACTGCCACCCAGGTGCGGACCCACCTCCCAATCACTGTCACCCGGAGCACCTGCCTGTGCCCCTTCACATCCACCTGTACCCCGGCTGCTACGTGCATGGACTTACCACACGCTCTCACCCTCACCCCAGCACTTACCACTCCTCCCGGATGCTGACCTCTGTCCCTGCCACCTAATGCTCACTCTGCCTCCCACCTCTGCCACCCGAGTACCTACCCCCATTCCTGATGCCCAGTGCTCACCTCTCTCCCACCCGTGCAACCCAGGTAATGCCACTTTCCCATCTATTACCAAGGCCCTCGCCACATTAGCTGCCCCCATACTGTTGTGTCCTCATTCACTTCCCATCGTGCTGTCCCGCTGCCTCCTCTGGCCCTTGCTCTCACCCATTCCCCCTCCTTGGTCTGGCCAAGCCCTAGAGAGCCGAGGCCCCTGGGATGCCATAGGTGGGCTTTGGCATCAGGACTATGTCCTCAGTGTCCTTCTCGTGGCCTGTGTGTCCCCCAGAGGCCTGTGGGCCCGATGCCACCTGTGTAAACCGGCCCGATGGCCGAGGCTACACCTGCCGCTGTCACCTGGGCCGCTCGGGGCCCAGGTGTGAGGAAGGTGAGTAGAGCCCAGCCTGAGGCGCCCCCTCCCCACCCAGAGGTCCCAGGAAGGATGGGGGGGGAGGGCTGGGCAGGGGCCCTCTGAGGCCATGCTGGGCCCTAGAATGGTAAAATGATGCCAGACATATAATACCTTAAAATATATATATATATATATATATATATATATATATATGCCAAAACCGGTTTGGCTCAATGGATAGAGCGTCGGCTTGGGGACTGAAAGGTCCCGGGTTCGATTCCGGTCAAGGGTATGTACCTTGGTTGCGGGCACATCCCCAGTGGGGGGTGTGCAAGAGGCAGCTGATCGATGACTCTCTCTCATCGATGTTTCTATCTCTCTATTCCTCTCTCTTCCTCTCTGTAAAAAATCAATAAAATATATTTTTAAAAAAAAAAATATATATATATATATACACAAAGTAAATAAATAAATAACATAACATAACACATACAATTATGGATAGTACATAATACTTGACAATGATAAATAACTATGTTACTGGTTTACGTATTTACATTTTTATCATTAATTTAGAATGTACTCTATAAAATGTGTTACACTGGTAAAAAAAAAACAAAAAACACAAAAAAACAATAATAATAATTAATTAATTTAATTAAATGATGCCAGAGCCAGAGGGCCTCAAAGTCAGCTGGCCAAGCTCCTGCCCAGTCCCACTCCCTTATGGGAGAGTCCCGCAGAGGGATGCCCACCTTATTAGGGACCCTTCCGGCCTGGTCTGCGTGCCGGGTGGGCCAGGAGTTCCTGTGCAGCCACAGCTATGGCCCCACGGATCTCCAGCCGCCGGGACTAGCGAGTGAGGTGGGCAGGAACCCCAGAGTGAGGCTGAGTAAAATGGACCCCTCCTGGGATCCTGGTGTCCCCACTGCCCCTCCTGGGATCCTGGTGTCCCCACTGCCCCCGGCTGAGCTGTGGCTGCTGCAGGTGTGACCGTGACCACGCCCTCCATGTCCGGCATCGGCTCCTACCTGGCGCTGCCCGCCCTCACCAACACGCACCACGAGCTGCGCCTGGACATCGAGTTCAAGCCGCTGGCGCCCAACGGGATCCTGCTGTTCAGCGGGGGCAGGCGCGAGCCCGTGGAGGACTTCGTGTCGCTGGCCATGGCCGGCGGCCACCTGGAGTTCCGCTACGAGCTGGGCTCAGGTGAGCGCTGGCCGCCACGTGCAGCTGGGCTCTGGGCGCCAAGCTCTGTGCCCCCCCCGCCCCTCCCCCGACTGCCTGTGCCCTGAGGAGGCTCAGAGGAGTGGATTCGGAAGTCAGACCCATTGGAGGTCCCTGCTCCTTCCCATTCCTCCTGAGTGTGTGACTTCCAGCCCCTCCACCTCTCCGGTTCCCGTGGCACACCAGGGGGCTGACGGAGCTCCCTGGCCCGGTGCGGGGCGGCAGGGCAGGGGGCCATCCGGGTGCCAGCCTCCCTCCCGCGTTCTCCCTAGGGCTGGCTGTGCTGAGGAGCGCAGAGCCACTGGCCCTGGGCCGCTGGCACCGCGTGTCCGCCGAGCGCCTCAACAAGGACGGCAGCCTGCGGGTGGACGGCGGGCGCCCCGTGCAGCGCTCCTCCCCGGGCAAGAGCCAAGGCCTCAACCTGCACACCCTCCTCTACCTCGGCGGAGTGGAGCCCTCGGTGAAGCTGTCCCCGGCCACCAACATGAGCACTCCCTTCCACGGCTGCCTGGGCGAGGTGAGGAGTGGCTTCCGGAGGACAAGGAGGGCAGGGTGGGCAGGAACCAGACTCCCCCGCCTGCCGCCAGCGGAAGGCCCTCGGGAGCAGAAAGGTCCCCTGTGAGCCTCAGTGTCCTCCTCTGTAAAATGGGGTGGCCGTTACACCTAATATGAAGGGTTGTACCGAGGATTGACTGCACTGATGGGTGTTGGTGGCACACAGTAGGTGCTCCTGTCTCTCCCTTCCCTACCCGACAGTCCCCTGTTACCACTCACATTCCAGCTTGGGTTCCCGGCTACCCCTGCTGCGTCCTCTCTGCTGGTAGGCCAGTGCCCCACCTCCTGTGTGGCCCGCGTCCTCCAGTGTCCCCTTGCCCACAGGTGTCAGTGAATGGGAAGCGGCTGGACCTCACCTACAGCTTCCTGGGCAGCCGGGGCGTCGGGCAGTGCTACGACAGCTCCCCGTGTGAGCGCCAGCCCTGCCTGAACGGCGCCACGTGCTTCCCCGCTGGCGAGTTTGAGTTTCAGTGTCTGTGTCGCGACGGCTTCAAAGGTGTGTGAGCTGCCCAGGCCCTGGGAGAGGGCGGGGCGCGGGGCGGTCAGCAGCGATGCCGGCCCGTGCCCCTCACCTCTGCCGTGACCCGCAGGAGACCTCTGTGAGCACGAGGAGAACCCCTGCCAGCTGCGTGAGCCCTGCCTGCACGGGGGCACCTGCCAGGGCACCCGCTGCCTCTGTCCCCCCGGCTTCTCCGGCCCACGCTGCCAGCAAGGTAACTGCCCAGCTTCTCTGCATCCTTTTTCGGAGCTCTGGGGACTGCACAGCGTCAGTGCCCACTGACTGGACCCTGCCTTTCCCCGCAGGCCCGAGGCATAGCACTGCGGAATCCGACTGGCATCTCGAAGGCAGTGGAGGCAACGGTACGTATTTTCCAGGGAAGCTGAGTGGACTTGCCTTCCAATTGGATCCAGGAAGCCACGGTCCTCCTGCCGCCCCTTCCCTTGGTTGCCTCCAACTAAAGAAACTGCTAAATGTCAGCGAGATGAGCGTGAACACAGAGCACTCGTGTTTTCTGTCCAAGCTCACAGGCCCCTGAGTTCTGTCCACGGCCCCCTGGGTCTCCAAGGGCCTGCAGGTTCAGAGGCCCCTGGTCCTACGTGACGGGAGGAGGTAGGGTCAGAGGACACGATGCCAGGTGGGCACTGCGGGCAGGGGAGCAGCTGTCTCCTACCCCCCTTTCCTTCCGCAGATGCTCCGGGGCAGTATGGAGCCTATTTCGACGATGGTGGCTTCCTAGTCCTTCCCAGCTATGTCTTCCCCAGGAGGTGAGAGCCTGGGAGCCTGGGGAGGGGAGTGGGAACCTGGGACTCCTGCCCCCTCACTATCCTCACCCCTTTCCTCCCCTCCCCCACTCCCCAACCAGCCTGCCCAGGGTGCCTGAGACCATCCAGCTGGAAGTTCGGACCAGCACAGCCAGCGGCCTGCTGCTCTGGCAGGGCATGGTGAGTGTGGGCGCCCAGCAGGCGGCGGGAAAGGGGCCTCGGCTCTCCAGGCTGGGGACCCCAGACAGCCTGTGCTTCCCTGGCAGGAGGCGGGGGACGCCAGCCACGGGAAGGACTTCCTCAGTCTCGGCCTTCAGGACGGGCACCTTGTCTTCAGGTGGGTCCTCTCCCTCCCCTGGCTCTCCACCCTCTCCCTCCCCGTAGCTTCCCGTCTGCTCAGCCCGTGGCTCTTCCCACAAGGAGCTGCAGTTCCCCGTGTCCCACTCCCACCCCCCACCCCCACCCCGCTCCTGTCCTGCCCACCTCACCCTCCCTGGGCCTGTGTGACCACAGCTACCAGCTGGGCAGCGGGGAGGCCCGCCTTGTCTCTGAGGACCCCGTCAACGACGGCGAGTGGCATCGGGTGACGGCCCTGCGGTAAGGGAGCCCACCGACACGAGGGAAGGGGCCCCACCAGCTTGGGGAGGTGGGCGGTGGGCTCTGGGGAGGCAACTTGAAGCCCAGACTTCAGGGCGGGACAGAACTCCATAATATGGGGGGGGGGGGGGCAAAGAGGGGAGGACTCCAGGAAGCACCTACTGGTGGGTGAAACCTGGGCGCTAGGAAGCTGGGGGGTGCAGATCTCTTATCTGGGAGGGAGGGAGGGAGGACTCCACATGCAGACGTCTCGCGTGTGTGGAAATGGGAGGGGCTCTCAGGGCCGGAGGCACGGAGGCCTGGCGGTGAAGGGTCTGACCCAGCCCCGCACCCACAGAGAGGGCAGAAGGGGCTCCATCCAGGTGGACGGCGAGGAGCTGGTCAGCGGCCAGTCCCCGGGCCCGAACGTGGCCGTCAACACCAAGAGCAGCATCTACGTCGGTGAGTCCTGGGCTGGGGCCTCGGTGCAGAGCCCAGCACACGCCCCCTCTCCCCGGGGGCCCCTGACGCTGACCAGTCCCGTCCTCTCCCCCCCCCCCCCCCCCGCAGGCGGAGCCCCCGACGTGGCCACCCTGACCGGGGGCAGGTTCTCCTCGGGCATCACGGGCTGTCTCAGGAACCTGGTGCTGCACTCGGCCGGGCCGGGCGCCCCGCCCCCACAGCCCCTGGACCTGCAGCACAGCACCCAGGAGGGGGCCGGCACGCGGCCCTGCCCCTCGTAGGCAGCTGCCCGCCCGCACGGACTCCTGGGCAGCGCCCCAGCCCCACGTCGTCGGGTCTATTATTAATATGATGATGATGGTGATGAATATTTTGTAAGAAACTGAGGCGACGCCACGCTTTGCTGCTGCCGCCCTGGGCTGGACTGGAGGGTGGGCATGCCACCCCCCACCCAGACACACGTGGGCAAAGCCGCAGGCTGGGGAACAGGGCGGGCTGGCTGGGGGCAGGCGCCTCAGAGGGGCAGGCATGGTGGCTGAGGGGCCTCAGCAGCGCCCCCACCGCGGCAGAGCCCCAGCGCAGAGCCGGGCCACCCGTGTCTGCAGCCCTTGTCCCTACAAGAGCCAACCGTGGCGCACAGCCTGGGCCCTCGCCAGCCACTAGGAGCTGAGGGCGTCGCAGTGGCCCTTGCCGCCACCCTCCTCTGGGTAGCAGAAGCTCTTTAGTGCCAATTGTGGAGCAAAAGGCAGCTCACCCCTGGTCAGGCATCCCCCAACCCCCACCCCGTTAGACCATGTCCCAGCCCCCCTCCGCCTTCACCTCTGCCTGACCAGCTTGGTCTGCACCCACCCCCCCACCCAATACCTACTCCAGGGCCCCCGCCCTCAGGGGCCACAAGGGAAACCACCCCAGCTCCTGCCAGGAGCTGCCGCAGGCCAAGCCCAGCACTGAGAGGGCCCCGCCAATCCCCCCACTGATCTGGAAGTGAAGGCCCAAGCGATATGGGGGGACGGGGTGCTGGTGGAAAGAGCGAGTGCCTTAGGTGGGGGAAGCCAGGACTCATGACGGAGGGACAGGAAGGGCCACGGCACCCCTGCCCCATCTGCGGGAACCTGAGGGCCCAACGGGGGGCAAGCACCCTCCCCCCCAGTAGCTCCCCAGATGCTGGGCCAGGACGCCTGGCCCCTGTGTCCAGATGGGACCCTCCTGTGGTCTTTGTCTTTGATCTTTTTAATAAACGGTGCTATCCCCGCCAACGCGGTCCCCCGCTGTCTCTGCCTAGGGCTTCACTGGTGGAACTTGAGGGTGGGGCAGAGCAGGGCAGGTTTGGTCTGGGGGTGAATCAGGGAAGCTTCAGGGGAGCGAGGCCCCTGCTCCCTACCCTGGGCCTGGAGGTCCTGCCTTTCGCTGACCCAGCAGTGACAGCCACCGCACGAGTGACAGCCACCGCACGAGTTCTGGTGCTGGTGACCTCCTGTGGCCTTCCTTCCCCACAACCCTGGGAGGCAGGGATCATCCCATTTTCCGGAGGAGCAGACTGAGTCTCAGAGGGTTATGTGAGCTGCCCAAGGTCAGACAGACTTCTGGAGGTGGGGGTGAGGACAGAACCCAGGGTCTGTTCGACCCACCCCAGAGCCCACTGGCCGTCCTCTGAAGCCACAGCCTCTATGCTTGGCTTCCCTAACCTGGAAGGCCGTCCCACTTGGCTGCGGTCCACCAGCGGCCACCTGGCCAGGACATGTGTGACAGATGGTGCAGCTAAAGCAGAGGCCACGCACCAGCCCTCCAGGCCAGCTGGCGGGAGGAGCAACAGCACCAGAGGAGGCCAATGTGGAGGACAGCAGAGGCCAGGAGCACCGAGGAGGCCAGCGCCGCCTTCTGTAGCCGGGGACCTGCGGGGAGAAAGGGAGAGTCCACTCAGGTCTCAGCCCCGGCCTGCTCCCCCTGTTCCCAACACCTGGAGAGGGACCAGTATGGTCTTGGTGGGAGGAGTGGGAGCAGGTGGTAACAAGTCCCTCTGCCTTCCGCAGCTGCATCCTGTTGGGCAGCGCCCCGGCCTGGTGGGGGACTGCTCCCAGCTGCACTCCGGAGGGGCCTGCTGACACGGGAGCTGGGGAGACAGTCGAGGCCTGGAGGTGTCAGCCTCTGTACTCCCCTCCTGGCTGGGCGTCAGAGAGGGGCCTGAGTGGGAAATAACAGAGCTAACGCAGAACTGGGCCTCTAAGGCATGACTGTGTCTCCTTCAATCCTTTCCAAACCTCTGTCTGTTACAATTAGTGTTTCCATTATATAGACCAAGGAAGGACGGCTCGGCCATTGGCCCCGGTCGCTCCGTTGGAGTGATAGGGGAGGACTTGCACTCAGCTCCCGGGCCTGGAGTGTGTGAATGGAGCTACTCCTCAGGAAGGAAGATGTGCACATATTTAGTGTTCTCTGTGCACCAGACGCCGCGCTCAGTGCTGGGCCCTTTACCTGGAAAGTTAGGTTTATCACCCCATTTTACAGATAAGGAAGCTTGAGGCATGGAGGTTCATTCTTCTCCTCACTTGACTCACATTTCTCCAGCGTCTACTACTGTGCCCTCGGGACTGGGGACACAACGCTGAGCAAAAGAGACAAAAATGGCCGAAACTGGTTTGGCTCAGTGGATAGAGCGTCTGCCTGCGGACTGAAAGGTCCCGGGTTCGATTCCCGTCAAGGGCACGTACCTTGGTTGCAGGCACATCCTCAGTGGGGGGTGTGCAAGAGGCAGCTGGTCCATGTATCTCTCTCATCGACATTTCTAACTCTCTATCCCCCTCAATTCCTCTCTGTGTAAAAATCAATAAAATATATTAAAAAAAAAAAAAAAAAAAGAGAGAGAGAGAGAGAGAGAGAGAGAGAGACAAAAATGTCTTCATGGAAGTGGCAGTTCAGTGTTAGAAGACACAAAAGCAATTATGTCAAATGGAGAGACTAGTAAGCAGAGGATAGGGACAGGCATGTTGGCTAGGAGTGGGGCTGCTTTTTTAAAAATTGGGAAGTATGGCCGAAACCGGTTTGGCTCAGTGGATAGAGCGTCAGCCTGCAGACTGAAGGGTCCCAGGTTTGATTCCGGTCAAGGGCATGTACCTTGGTTGCGGGCACATCCCCAGTGGGGGACCTGCAAGAGGCAGCTGATTGATGACTCTCTCATCGATGTTTCTAACTCTCTATCCCTCTCTCTTCCTCTCTGTCAAAAAATAAATCAATAAAATATATTTTTAAAAAATGAATAAAATAAAAAATAAAAATTGGGAAGTATGCCACAATAAACCGTTAACCAGTCTGTACGTGTACCACAGAACTCTTCCTCCTGCAAAACTAAAACTCTGGCCCCATTAGATACTAATTCCCTGTTCTCTCTCCCGCCCCCACTGCCCCCCGCCCTTGGCAACCACCTTCCTACTGTCAGTCTCTGAATTTGACTATTTGACTACTCTAGGTGTCTCGTAGACGTGGAATCATACAGCCTTTACCCTTTTCTGTTTAGCTTATTTCAATTAGCAGAGTGTCTCCATGGTTTCAGACTTGTTGAAATGTCCTTTTTAGCCGGGACTGGTTTGGCTCAATGGATAGAGCATCGGCTTGAGGACTGAAGGGTCCCGGGGTTCGATTCCGGTCAAGGGCATGTACCTTGGTTGCGGGCATATCCCCAGTAGGTGGTGTGCAAGAGGCAGCTGATCGATGACTCTCTCTCATCGATGTTTCTAACTCTCTATCTCTCTCCCTTCCTCTCTGTACAAAATCAATAAAATATATTAAAAAAAAAAAAAAAAAGAAATGTCCTTTTTAGGGCTGAATAATATCTCGTCGTGTGGCCACATCACATTTTGTTTATCCACTCGCCTGTCCCTGGACACAGCATTGCTTTTTTTAAATTCAGGGGTCAGGAGAGGGTGAGGGTTAAGAAGAGCCGTGTAGGAGCAAAAGGATGAGCATGAAAATCTCTAGGGAAACGCCTTTCAGGCAGAGGGAGCAAATTTTTTCTTTTTTAATTTTATTTCAGAGAGGAAGGCAGAGGGACAGGGGGAGAGAGAGAAGCACCAATGATGAGAAGGAATCATTGATTGGCTGTTACTGGGGATCGAGCCTGCAACCCGTGCATGTGCCCTAACCGGGAACCGAACCATAACCTCCTGGTTCATAGGTCAACGCTCAATCACTGAGCCACTATGGCTGGGCGAGAGAGCTAGTCTTGAGACCAGAGGCAGAACCAGACAGGTGTGGAAGGTGTTGGCCCGGGACCGTGTGGAGGAGCTGAGGGAGCAGGAGGGCAGGGGGGCCCCCAGGCGGCTTTGTCTTTGAGGAGCAGGGCGGGTTCTGAGCGTGGCAGTGGCATGACTGACGGGGTGTCTTAGGTGGCTCCTCTGGCCAGAGAGCTTACCTCCCCACTCCGTCTGTCAGCTGTGCTAGTGACTTCCTCCCAAAAGGGACAGTCTGGAAAGAGGAGGTAGAAGGAGGAACCGTGGGAAAATGTGACAAACACGATCTCAACCAGGTTCAAGGCCAACATCCGTAGTCCTGAATCAGGTTGGTGGTATGTCCCTTTGATAGGATGAAAATGACACTTGACCCCTGTAGCCTTTCTCCCAATAAACCCCTAACTCCAGTCTTATCGTGAGAAAAACATCAGACAACTTGATGTGGATGGCTTGGCTTTGAGCTGCAAAAAGGAACAGCCACACAACGGCCCTACCTGGTGTGGCTCAGTGGATAGAGCGTTGGGCTGCGGACTGAAGGGTTGAGTCATATATGAGCATTTATTCCAATAATGCCGTCAATTGGGAGAGCAGCAGGTCACCCACACAATCTGCTCTGCAACCCCCGGTAAACCAGGTGCTTATATGGGGTCGGACAAACGGAATTAGAATGGATATGCATTGGCAAATATGTTCTCCCATGAAGCAGGCTCACTTTTCACTTAAAAAAAAAAAAAATATATATATATATATATATATATATATGTGTGTGTGTGTGTGTGTGTGTGTGTGTGTGTGTGTATTGATTGATTTTTTACAGAGAGGAAGAGAGAGGGATAGAGTTAGAAACATCGATGAGAATCATCGATCAGCTGCTTCTTGCACACCCCCTACTGGGTATGTGCTCGCAACCAAGGTTCATGCCCTTGAAAGGAATCGAACCCGGGAACTTTCAGTCCACAGGCTGACATTCTATCCACTGAGCCAAACCGGTTTCGGCTCTATTCACTTTGTTGATGACTTCTTTGGCTGTGCAGAAGCTTTTTATTTTGATGTAGTCC